AAATGACATCGATTTATTGTATAGTCACAATTAATCAAGATCCTATAGTAGCTTCCAAAATCTGGACACAGTATTCTAAGTTTCTAACGTGAACCACGTTCTAAGCAAATATTCTTTGCGTTTGTGTCCGATAGCAACAAACGATATTCTTGTCTGATGCTCTCCCCCGAAACTAAATACATTCAAATTTTGCGTGCAGCTTGTATACGTTCAGATTTTCTTGATTTGGGATATATTTTTTTTTCAAGTAATTTGGGTGTCACAGAATAGTTAGCTCTTATATTAAAACATTATTTAAGTGATATGTAATAGAGTCTCACTAGAGGAACATCCTCAACCACACTCCAACCACACCCCCACACTCTCTATAGTGCTAATAGGATATGCATGATATTTTTAAAAAAAAATATCATGCATGGCCCACTAGCACTATAAAGAATGTGAGGGTGTGGTTGTGTGGTTGAGGGGTGTACAACTAGTATTATTTTATGTAATATTCTAGACAATTTCAAGGCATCATACATTTTCACACCTACCCTAAGAATCTTAGCCCAGTGGGCCTCAACATTTTTATTTATCATGATAAATACCAAACCCAGGCACCAAGTAAACCGTCTCTGGAAAAAAAAAACCGAAGAAAGAGAAGGATCAAAAGAGAAGGAAATCCTTCATTTTCTTCCCATTTTCTCTCTCTCTCTCGAAACCCTAGATTAATTTCCCCCCAGAATTGGAAACTATGAATCCGCAGAAGAAGAGGAATTTCAAGATCGAGGCGTTCAAGCATCGAGTGGAGATGGATCCCAAGTACGCAGAGAAGACGTGGAAGGTTCTCGAGCACGCGATCCACGAGATTTACAACCATAACGCCAGCGGTCTCAGTTTCGAGGAGCTCTACAGGTCCTATTTGGTCTCGAATTTTTCATTTAATTTTAGATGGACGATCACGAAAGTTGTATAGTTTGATCATTGATTAGGTTAGGCGTTGTAGTTTTTTTTTTTTTTTTTTGCAAAATTGTTCCACACAGGTTTAAGCCCGTGCAAATATTTACGCTATCCAATAAAGAATGACCTTATATTCAAAGTTCTGGAGTTGGAAAGATGGGAAATGAAAGAGATACACGACACAATAGTGATCTACACGCCCCCGAATAGATGTAGGAGACTTGCATATATTTATGTTTGTTAGGTGTATGTGATTCCCTTCACTCATATACATTGAAATTTAATTTGAGAGTCTCGAACTGTTTCAAACCAGTGTTATCAAAGACGCGCCTCATGCGCGCTACGATGAGGGGCAGTGGTGAAGCACCCCACATCTGCAACGCCTTTCGCGCTTCGCAAGCAAGTGCATGCAAGGCATAGCCTTGTATGTTTTTGTTATTTAACATTGCAATCGAGTCCTTAAGCTTTTTATAGCCGATAGCTAGGGGTGCATTCGGTCCGGATACGGCTCGATGCTTACCATATCCATATCCGCTTACCCATTTTGGATACGGATACGGATACAGATATATCTCGGTAAGAAAAATTCATATCCATATCTGCTAAACTTGGATACGGTTACGGATATAGATGCGGATATATAAGCGGATATGCATGCGGATAGAAAACGGTTATGAGAAAACTAGATAGTATTGAGAAAAAAATAGCTTATGTGATAAAAAAAAGAGGTCGTTAATATGTTCATTATAACTAAAAAGCTAAGATTAGACATCTTGATCATCAAAAATTAACCACAAATCCACAATTTAAGAACTGAAACTATCTTAAGAGTATGACTAATATGGATTCAGATATTTCAGATACAGATATAGATATTTCACTACAAAACCATATCCGTGACCATATCCTATCGGTTATATATTTGAGTAACACTATCCGTATCCTAACAAATACGGTTACGAATATTTTCTCGGATACGGCTACGGTTTATCACCCCTACCGATAGCTGATATCGGATATCACAAAGTGCAAATATACCCATTAGGCCTTTTTAGTAGCCTGATTGAGGACCCTGATTAATCCGCGTTTACCATTTGGTTTTGCTTCAATATTTGTATTGATTTGACTTCTTATTTAGAAAATCATAAACTTTGCTAATTGCTAGTTGCTACTATGTTGGTTGTGTTAGCATTCGAATTAAGACCTTGCTTTGTGATTTGGTAGTAGATATTATTTATGTTAAAATTCATAAACATGTTCTTTCGTGCTTGATTATCTATCCCTAAAAATTTTGTGTGCTGTATGCGTCTCGCTTCAATCGGGCGCATTCATTATGTTATGCCTTGCGCATGTGTGCTTAAAGGGACTTTCCGCCTTGCGTTGGCCTTGAGCATTGATAACACTGTTTCAGATATTTATTTATTTATATTGTACGAATATGTAAACCATCTTTGCTGATTATCTATCACTAGTTAGGACTTAAATTTTAAGGAGAGTATGCATGATATGAATAAGGAAAAGGGCAGTAGCAATTCTTCCTTTACTTGTTTTCTGTGGGGACACCCAGGATTTAGTCTTCAGGTTCAATTGCTTGCTCTCAAGTCTCTTCTTCATGTTGCTTTTGCTGCAACATCTCAATGTAGGTTATGCTTGTTTCTGCCCTCAATGCCATGTATTACCCTTGGTACTAGGTTTCTCATCTTTATAGGGTATCTGTTGATAGCTTAGATATCATATGCACCTAATGAGTGACTTAAAATTTCGGTTTTGTACTTTCCTACTGAGAAGCTATTTAGTTACGATTCTGTCGCCCGCATGTTAGAGGAAGGATGGATGGAAGGAGTATTAATGTGTCTACAGTTACATTGTTATTTCTGTCATTTGAGAGTTTCAGTGAATCACGTGAACTCACTTGTGCATACATTGTTTTCTTTATCTCTTACCAATGGAATATATATTCATTACTGTTTAGATTTGGGTAATTCGTAAATCAAGTATATCTTGAGCATAGTGCTTTAATTCCTTTCGGATTGTGAAAAATACTTATTTATCAGGATGTTGGTGCTCTAATAGTTGTAACTTATCAATTGTGTCTATCTGATGCTGTACCTGTACTCCAGACGCTTTCCCGTACCCGCATCGACACTTCGTTGGACACTACTTGAATATATCTTTGTATTTATTTGGGCATGCACTCAATTATATAATACATGATTTATTTTAAAACACTCATCATAAACTTCTTCGTGTCCCCATACCCTACGTTTTGCAAATTTGTCGTGTTCCATACCCGTACCCAAACCTGTATCTGTACCTGTTGTGATCCAACATAGATGGGCGTAGACACTTGGCTGATATTTCAAAATATTTGCTAGTTGGAGATATTTACTACCCAGGATAGGAGTTGAAAAGATTTTGTATGGGGGCTTCTTGAGCATAAGTCTAGAACAACATTTGAAGGAGGATGAAAGCATGGTATCGTCTTGGGTTGTGTGTACAATAAGACTTGTGTAATATTGTAGTCAGAGGTCTGCATTTTGAGGGATACACCAAAATGAACTTGGTTTTGACCTGAAAAAGAAGAGGAGAAAGAAAAGAAAAGATCTGGTAGTTGATATAATTTGAGGAGTTGTTCATTTATAAAGCCAAATGAAAGCATGAGCTAACATAAGTACTTAAGATAACAGATTTGTGCTTCCATTCTGAGTATAACATGCAGTTGACTTGCCTGTATACATAAAGGCATATCTGGGTCAAGCCTTAACTTCCAAGACAAGACTCATTGAATGGGTAAGGTCCATATAATTTGAGGCCTTATGCAGAAATCTGTTGAATCAGAAATCTGTTTACTTGGGTCTGGTGGGCTATGGGACTTACATGTATAGGTTAGAAACAGCATTCAAAGTGTGTGCATGATTCAATGGAGCTGTGAAATAACTATTATTAATTTTTTAATGACATCCGTGTACTGCAGAAATAGTTATCAATAGTCTCAGTTATTGTTTGGGACTGTTATTTCTGACAAGGTGTTACTTTATTATTTCAGTTGAACTGAGAAACAACTTTTGATTATTTTTTACAGGCATTAGTTTACTAACAATATAGTTATCAGTACTCATACTTTTTTCCTGGAACTGTAATTGTTATTACTGCTGACCAGGATGTCTCGTTGCTAGTGTAGTTGCTGCTAGGACATGGTAGTACTAAAATGATATTTACATTGAAAAACCATATATATTGTATGTAACACACCCACATGCCAGCTCTCTGGGGTTTACTTCCAGTAGTAGTTTAGTTACCTGTGAGGTCAAGGAAAATTTGCAAACTACTCCATATCAAGAAGATGCAAGGAGAGCGATGACAATGATGCTTAGTTGCTTTTCCTCCTACTTTCTCACTTTAAATCTTGAAGTGGATTGAAAATGAAGTTCATGGCATGGTGGGTACTCTTTATCTCCCACTTTAAAACTTTGCTATGTTGCTTCTATGTTGTTGTCAGTAGCCAGACAGACTTTGTATCCGTAGCATACATGAAAATGTTTACCACTGCAATGCTCTAACAAGAAATCTAACAACCCCTAAACTAGAGTAGCAGGAGTCTTCTACTAATGTTTGGTTGGTTAAGACTCTTGGGATGATTTTTTGCAACCTAAGTTTGCATTATCTGGAAACAAAGATCAGAGAGTTTTCTTTCGAAACTACTTTTTCCCAGAAATCGTTGATAATGTTATTATAGGCCCCTGCAAGCACTAACCCGCCCAAGTTAATGTTTGAGAAACAAGTTATGTCAATAACTTGTAGGTCCTTAGCAAACCATTCGAGCTTCATGATGCATCTATAACACTGGAATCTAATTTATTGTTTGAAATATTATGTCCAACAATAATTTTATGCCATTGCCAAATCAGCCCAACTTGAATATCCCAAAAATATATTAGATACTTGATGCTTCTTCAGATGAGCTAGAAATGCCATCATCTTCTAACTTCTATTTTATACTTTCAATTTGTATCCTTACTTCCTATTTTCTTATTTAACAAATGCAAATGCCTATAAATATGGTGCTTCACAAGCATGGTGAGAAACTAATACTCTGGACTATTAGCAACTATGACATGGCACTTAAAAGAAATAGCAAAATCCATAGAGGCAGCTCAGGTGGTTTGTTCTTGGAAGAGCTGAACCGCAAGTGGTGTGATCAAATAAGGCACTTCAGATGATACGTGATATACTAATGTACATGGATAGGACATTTGTTCCTGTTACCAACAAGGTACCTGTTCATGAGCTAGGCCTCAATCTATGGAGGGATCATGTCATTCACTCAAGTCAGATCCAAAACAGGTTGCTCATCACTCTCCTCGAACTCATACAGGACGAGCGAATGGGTCAAGTAATAAACCGAGGATTGATGAGGAACATAACTAAAATGTTGATGGATTTGGGATCTTCTGTATATCAAGAAGAGTTTGAGAGGCCTTTCTTAGAGATCTCTGCTAGTTTTTACAAAACCGAGTCTCAAACCTTTGTTGAATGCTGTGATTGTGGTGAATACCTCAATAGAGCTGAAAAGAGGCTTAATGAAGAAATAGAGAGGGTTTCACACTACTTAGACCCCAAAAGTGAAGCTAAATTAACAGATGTAGTGGAGAGAGAGATGATCACGAACTACATGCAGAGGTTGGTTCACATGGAGAACTCTGGCCTTGTAAATATGCTTATTGATGACAAATATGAAGATCTTAGCAGAATGTACTGTTTGTTCCGTCGAGTTTCTGGTGGTCTCTCGATAATCAGAGATGTGATGACATCTCACCTTCGCGAAACAGGGAAGCAGCTTGTAGTAGATCCAGAGAGATTAAAGGATCCTGTGGACTTTGTTCAACGCCTTTTAGATCAGAAAGATAAATATGATAAAATCATCAGCACTTCATTCAACAATGACAAGACTTTCCAGAATGCTTTAAATGCCTCGTTTGAATACTTCATCAATCTCAACAACAGATCTCCTGAATTCATCTCCTTATATGTTGATGATAAACTCCGTAAAGGCCTCAAAGGGGTGAGCGAAGAGGATGTTGAGATTGTCCTTGACAAAGTGATGATGTTGTTTAGGTACTTACAGGAGAAGGATGTATTTGAGAAATATTATAAGCAGCACTTGGCAAAGCGGCTTCTTTCGGGTAAAACTGTTTCTGATGATGCTGAGAGAAGCCTTATAGTAAAACTGAAGACAGAGTGTGGGTATCAGTTTACTTCAAAACTTGAAGGCATGTTCACAGATTTGAGGACCTCTGAAGATACTATGCGGGACTTCTACGCTAGTCAATCTTCTGAGATTGGAGATGGCCCAACTTTGGGGGTGCAAATTCTTACAACTGGGTCTTGGCCAACCCAGCCCAGTCCTGCATGCAACCTTCCCACTGAAATCCTTGGCGTATGTGAGAGGTTTAAATCATATTACCTTGGAACTCATACTGGGCGGAGGTTGACTTGGCAAACAAATATGGGTACAGCCGATATCAAAGCAACCTTTGGCAAGGGCCAGAAGCATGAGCTGAATGTTTCTACATACCAGATGTGTATCTTGATGCTGTTCAATTCATGTGATCGGCTGAACTACAAAGAAATAGAACAAGCCACGGAGATCCCGGCTTCTGATCTTAAACGGTGCCTTCAATCCCTTGCTTGTGTTAAAGGTAAGAACGTGCTTCGAAAGGAGCCAATGAGCAAGGACATTGTAGAGGATGATGCCTTCTATTTCAATGATAAGTTTACAAGTAAGTTCATTAAGGTAAAGATTGGTACAGTGGCGGCTCAGAAGGAATCTGAACCTGAGAAGCAGGAGACTCGCCAGAGAGTGGAGGAGGACAGGAAGCCTCAGATTGAGGCTGCCATTGTAAGGGTTATGAAATCTAGGAGGGTATTAGATCATAATAACATTGTAACAGAGGTGACGAAGCAGTTACAGGCAAGGTTTCTGCCTAACCCAGTGGTGATAAAGAAGAGGATCGAATCTCTAATTGAGCGGGAGTTCTTAGAAAGGGATAAGTCTGATAGGAAACTGTATCGATACCTTGCCTAAATCTAACATGGAATACTCTGATTTGAGGCCTTAAGAGCCCAAGCACACCGGGTAATATGATCATCTTTTCGTAACCCTTGCTTCTGTTGCTATTCCTCATATGAAGTATAGCTGTCACCTTTCTGATGGTAGATATTTACTTTTGACCATTTTTCCTTTTTTCCCTCCAGCCTTATTTCTGAGTGATGCTTAACTGACTCTAACCTAGCATGGATCTGCACAAAAAGTTGTGTTTAATTGGTTTTTTATGTTGTTGGTTTTGTTTTCTTGTTTCAGATTGTGAATCTTGTTACTCTGCATGATGCCACAAACCAAGATGGCATTATTTTGAGGATGATAATTGGAGGACCAGGTTGCTGGAAAATGTCGTAGCACGGCGCTATCGTCTGGTTAACTCAAACTTATCATCCTTTTTGGTCATTTTGTGCTTTATTGGTCATCTTGTGCTGTGTGTGGTATTCTGGGGGGCAAGATCATTTTCCTGCACCTATTTGTTGGGCCTCTGGAGATGCATGAATCTCTTCATGTAAGGCATCTCAGAAATGTTATCATGTTATTTAGAATCCAATTTCTACAGCCTTTGTGAATAGAAAGATTATGCCATGGAAACATTTTGTCCATCTGTCAGCGATTAAAAAATAGTAGTGCTCGATCTTGGAAGCTGTTAAAAATTTGGTTATGGTTGTTACCTTTGATTTTGGCCCTTGGATTGAGACGAAAAAGTAGAGACCCCTTGCTCTTTGCTGATAATTCTCGAGCAAATGCTAGTTGGCGTGCAAGGTGATTATTATGATTATTATAGAGTCGCCTAATTCTTATCAGCTCGAATTTTAGTTTCTAATTTCACAGATTTCATTTGAGGGAACAGATTCTAATCTTGGTTGTTCTTTCGTTTAGAATCCTAGCTGGATTAGATTCTAAATTACCTTTCCTTTTTAATGAAACAAGAACTCTTCTTTGATAAGTTTGTGAATTATGTCTTTTTTTACCCCTGAGGGATTATTATTTATTATTATTTTTTTGTTTACTAAAATGACGCTTAATAGCTAATGGCACCTTCTTTGATACGGAGACCTTATCATTCTCGTCTATATGTTTTAAGTTATCGATTTGTCCCTCAATCTGTTAGGAATTCAACATTTGAAGTTAGTTGTACTACAATAATCAGCGCATTCAACATTTAAATTATGGCAGCAATCTCCCAATGCTCGTCCGCGCGCACATTTTGAAGCTTGTTTATTGGTACGTGCGAATGCTGCTCATGATGCTAAGTGAACAGGTGGTTGCTCAGTTGGGAGGGGAAAGTAAAATAACACATTATTATTGATTTAATATCGTTTAAATGCATCTCTCTTGCCGTAAAAGGTGAGAATTAAAAAAAAAAAACATGCATGTATTTTGTTTTTCTCAAATAATAAAAATCTAAATGTGTTCTCCATGTGTAACCCTGCAACTTTTGTCTCCATTCTCCGTTATCAGCGTCTCACTTTCTCCTAGCTTCTAATCTGCAACGAGGATCCGGTTGTAGATTTCAGCAAATGTCTTCACATCAGATCCCCACAACCTGCAGAGGATCCAATACATCAAAATGATCGCATGCGTAGACAAATAATCACTCACTGTGACATTTATAAAACGCAAAGATACAAGGGCACCATAATCTCATGCACCATTGACATTTGATACACATACCAGCAGTCTATGCCGAATGCATTAGCACCATCCCTATCTGCCTTCTCATCGTCTCCGATATGTACTGCTTTGCCAGCCTCCACGCCTATTTGATCTGCAAAATGTAAGAAAATTTCAAAGAAGGGTAAAATTAAAAAGAAAATTGACCCTTACCGAATTCAAAACAGGCATTCAAAATTCCAGAAACATCCAAATGTAAAACATATTAAAAACTTCCGATGGTAAGAGTATATGCCAATGCAGTACTCACAAATGTGTTCTATTTAAATGTACTTAAGATTTCCCCCCCCCCCCCCCCCCCCCCCCCTCCCCCCCCCCCCCCCCCCCCCCCTAGAAAGCTACATGAATTGCTTGCTGGAATTTGTAATACATACCTAATGCAGATTTGAAGATATCTCGCCGAGGCTTTTCATATCCTACCTCTGAGGATATGACAATGGCATCAAACCTGGTAAACAAAACATAACTCACTTGAATTACTGTAACAAATTTACCTTGTGTTGCAATCTTCTAAACTTGCATAAATCAATTTGGCGTCTTAATTGGAAAGGAAGGCTCCCAACTTTATAACTTAACATGACTACATCTGCTTCGTGACTGCAAAAGTAACAGGACAAATGATAACCCACAACACTTACAGATGAGCAACATTAAGGTCTTTCAGCAGCTTACGTAGACGATTGTCAAAGTTAGAAACAACGGCCATCTTAACTGCACTTTACCTACACTACAGTTAGTGACCGTTAAAAAAAGGATATTTGCATGATATCATAATAGGAGAGAAAACTTGGGTACTATGACCTCCAGCATCTTTCAGAAGAGACATTGTTTCATGTGCTTCTACTGGTAGGCGCCATGCATCACCGTGGGCATAGTGCTGATGCAAGAAATAATCAAGCAGTTAAGTCATAAACTCCATGAAAGGTGCATGAGATCTAACAAAACGTGGTGTCACACCACAAGGAAGAAGAATCTAATACTGCATATGCTTGCCACATTGTATTTACAAACATAAAAGGTTAAATGAACTTTTCTATATAAATTATCCTTCACAATTTTCTAGATCACTAACTAGCATAACGTATCACAAATTAGCGTGCATCTTTTTAAAACCCTCTCTTAGTTTCTAAAATTAAGGTTCTGATGAGTAGTTCATTGAAAATGATGAAATCAAACTGGATTCCTTGGCTTTAATGAGCTCTATGATGAAGCAATGTTGGATCACTAAACTCTTGACCCAGATATGGAAAAGTAGATTAATGTTCCTAGCAATTCCAAGTACATCATATGCAGTAACTATATTTTCAAGAGACATGAGTAGTAGAGAAGAACTATACTACGCCTCCACACAGCGATTGAACAATCTAAAGTATGTTCCACCTCTTGGTTCGAAGCCAATATCTGATCATTGGAGGAGTAACAAATAACGTCATCATCATCTGCACAACCAGATGTCCTGCAGTACATCATCAGGTTCATACACAATCATCTAATATTTCAAGTTATAACCAATCACCTTATTACTAAATGCCTTCTCAGTTTTTAAAAGAACAGCCTTCTTCTTGGAGGTGCTACCTCATTGGTGGATTTCTGGGCTCCAATTTCCATAAAAAGTCTAGAAACAAGACAAGCACTTACTTGGCATAGACGATGTGTTGGGAGATGCTTGGTGGAGAAAAATACGAGATTTCTCATTTTAAAACTATCAAAACTCACTGGGAGTTTATATAGACCACTTCTGATGTTGAGTGTTCTCTTAGAGAGAGAGAGTTCAAGTAGCTGGCCTTTCATAATAAAGGATGTGTTGGTCGTTCTATGCATTCTATGACTTCATAGCCCATTTGTTATTTCTCTTTTTTGAGGGAGAAGAGCTCCTAAGCTTGAATCGTTGAAGCTCCGATATAGAGAAAAACAAACACCACGAAGGAACAAAGAATACTTGTTTGTTATGCAGACAGATGACAAGAAGCCTCCACGCATATTATGACAAGCGGATATCTTGCATTTTAAACTCTCAAATCATTGTGCAGTCAGTCGGAGTTGGTGTGTCCCAACATATAAATTAGAAAATCTCCTAGCTAAATGCATATCTGGCGATTTGAACTCATAACCTTCCATAGGGGAAGAAAGTGACGACACTGCCAAACCTAAGTTCAGTGGGCGTAGAAGTTTCTAAATCACCTAATAGTTCAAAACAATCCCATCATTTCCCCCCCCCTGAAAAATACAAACCCAGGAAACAGTTTCTCCTAGCGCTATATCGTTCCCTGTCCAAGGAATCATTAGTTGATCATCCGAATACTCTTTCAATTAATTTGACTCTAGTACACGGCTAATTAGCAACTAAATACCTGCACTTATATACCATCACTTGTTCCGGAAGCACAAACCCTGAAGTCTCCAGAACTTGCACTTAAGTAACTTGCGTTATGCAAACATGAGAATTTTGCTCCGAATTTTCCCACTCGATACTCACAAACAAACATCAGATTAGCCTGCATCACTAGTTCCGACTAGTGGAACTCTGACCGGTACAACTCTACACACAATTGTTTATTCTTTTATATAGAAAAGAAAACATTGAAGGCATAAATGAATTAGGCCGGGGTATAGAATCTTCGATAACTGCATTATTTTCAATGTTTGGATCAATCAACATCCGGCGTGAAGACAGTAAAAAAGGGCTCTTCTACCGTTCTACATACACAGTTAACCTTTACCAAAAACCTCTAAAGATGAAATTTTTTCCAAAAAAAAAAAGAAAAAAATGTGAGAGAGAGAGAGAAATCTCGCCTCATACACTTCTTCGAAATAATCATCCCGAGAACAACCCGTGGCGGGAGCCGCAAATGCCCTCCTGAAGCCTTGCTTAATTTCGCTCTCACTCGCGCTTAATCCTTGATAAATCCCTCATCAGAATTAGAGAAAACGTTAAAAATAAAAAGAAATAGAAGGGGAAATAAAATTAAAATTTTTTAAAAAAAATGGAAAAGGTACCAAATTTCTTGCCAATTGTGGCATAGGTTTCCTCGACCGGGTTGGCGAGCTGGAGGAGAGTGCCTCCGGCGTCCAGAAGCAGCCCGTCGTAGGCCCTCCGCCGCCGCGGCGCAACACCAGCTGAGAAATTAATTGCGTAATTGATAAAAATAGTGTTTTTTTTGTTTGGTTTGGTTTGTTTTGGAGGGAGATTTTTTTCTTTTTTTGATCGCACCTGAAGATGAGATTGCTCTCGCCGTCGTCGTCGTGGTGCGAACGGAGGAGGGAGATGGGATCGTGGATCTGAGGAGGAATTGGGCCGGCGGCCTCAAACTCGACATACTACTTCTCCAGCAGGCCGCAAACATGACACGGAGAGAGCGATCCGTACGTTTTTAAGATTGTTGGGCCGCTGTCGGTTCTGCCGACTCAAACAGGTTTAGAGACGCGTCAGATTAACTTCTCCGTACGAAAACTGCCACCTAGACGCTTTTACTGTAAACCTTTCAACTATTCCAATCACCACGGATTACTGTCACTTTTAACTTATAAGGACTAAAATACTATTGACTTTTACTTGTGTTTAATTTACTATGATGAAGTTTGAGCAAAAATTACCAGACTATTAGCTATTATCGGAGTAACTGTCAACGATTTTCAGGTTTTATCATAATGTGATAAAACTATCATATGCTTGTTTAATAGTTGTGATAGTTTTCTCGGGTTGATTTGAATGCTCGTGTTAGTCTACGATAGTTTTTTTTATGCACAACTCTTGTTACTCTATGATAGTTTTGTGAAGTATATCATAAGGAAAACTCATCTTCGAAGCCTCGTCGGTTAATTTAAAAAGAAACGAGTTCCTAATTTCCTATTTAAGAAAGAAAGACACCTATTTTTTATCGATGTTTGATAACTGAGCCAAATGTTTTGGTCCAGTCGAACACTTGCGTACATTGATCATAAAAAGCAACGAAGAACCTCCAAAAGAATATAATATATATACTTCAACAAGTTATGCAACACCGTGAATTATACAGCACGTATGATACTTGTCTTCCCATTATATACACACAATAACATGCTGCAGTACAGAATTGAAAAGTCTTTATTGTGTAATTCAAGCATAGATACCAGAAGAATGAGAATAAAGAATCTATTCCAAAAGAATGGGAAGATACTCGCTGATATACAAGTTGGATTTCATCACGAGAAGAGGGAAACCATATGCCTGCTTCAGCGAGGACACAAATATTACATGAAAATTAAGATATACAGCTTAAATCCAAGAGGAGTAATGCAAAGGCACTATCCCACATGGATGTTGAACTTTCACGTATTTGTCTTCGCACTGCAAATAAACCAAATAAAGATATCAGGCAGCGGAAATCAAAATTTGAAGTTGCTTGTGAGAGATGAGCTATGGGCATCAAGTTACCTGAAGGAATCCAATACTTACATAGGCTTAGCAGTACTAATAGAGTCATACTCGAGCAGTAACCTGAGCTTGACATGCTGAAAAAAACCAATGACTATTAGAAAGCTGGAGGCGAAGGTGAAGTTTCGACTCTGTGATGGAACAACTTAGCTATTGCTCTCCGTTCACAATCCTGTATCATGGGCAGTGGAATTAGTGTGTAATTTATTTACAACCAAATAGTAACTACTTTTAATCCTATTGATCTTTCAAGTAATGATAAAATAAAAGTGCTATCGAAAGTGAAAATTGTTGTTGTGATGGAGATCTCCTTCAGCCACACAAGCACAAAAGAGAGCAAAACAATCACAATAGGGACAATGATATATTGTGGTTCAGACAATAAAGTTCAACGTATATCCCTGATCAACCAGTAGAGTAAACCAAGTACACAGGAACACTATATAAGAAGAATCAACCATTCTCTGCTCACTGACCATCTGGCACGTGACTTGCATCTCCTATCATCTTGAAACCTCAATCTCATTCTCCACAGCGGAAGTATTTATCTACTCATTCCTTAACACTACCCTCTTGTAGCCGCGGCCGCCGCCAACCCCCACCACAAAAACAAAAAAAAGTATCTGGCCCCAAGGCCCAACTCCAGCAGTATGCAATCAGATACATGGCACAACCCCAATGTCAGGTACTAATGGAAGATCTTCAACCACATTTTTGTCCTCTCCCCCTCACCATCATTCCACTGGTTACCCCCTTCAATAGGTCTAGGCATGTCCATCAAATGCATACTCGTCCTCTCCCTCCATCTCACCATCATTCCATTGTTAGCCCTCTTCAATAGGTTTAGGCATGTCCATCTAAGGCATTATTAGCATAAAGGAAGTTTCTTTAATTGTACGTCTCTAACCATGCCTATGATATATCAGGTAGCTTTGGTGCTCGAAAACATGCATAACCTGTATTCAGGGTAATGGAAGGTCATTAAGTTTTTTTTTTCAAGTGTCATATAAGGAGGTCCTAATTAGTTTTTCAACTACAAATTAATGAGTGTCTCCACTAGAATCCTTATTTTTAATGTTATAGCACAACTCCAATAAGTTGCAAAATTAGGTTACATGCCAATGCCACTGACATGAAGTGCTAATATGTCAGAGAGACTTGTGATTCTGAAAATGGCAACTTCGCACTATATCTTAACATTGAAAACAAATATCAGTGTATAAGAAACGTTGATTCTATCACAGATTCATCATAAAGTTAGAGAAGCATATAAGAATGAGATAATCGATAGGTGATACTTGCACAGGAAGAAATCAATTCCAATGTACAACCAAGATGTACACCATACCTTAAACATATTCAGCGCAAACTGTTTTCCGGGATTCATTCTTCTTAACTTCAAGAAAGTGTATGCAAAGCTCAATTGATCACGTGAAGTGAACCGGTCCACCTCATTGAACCAAAGACATGAAAACAAGTTTGACATGGGGGTGTGAGCACGCACAATAAAGGAGCCTTCAGGTACATCTGAAAAGAAAGAAAGAAAAAAACAGAAGAACAATTGGTGGGTATACAAAGAGCGCTGCTACGGGGACCCAAAATATGGGACCAAGGGGTGGGACTAGTGATGTGTCCCTCCCTTATTGGATAATAAGGGGTGGGACTAGTGATGTGTCCCTCCCTTATTGGATAATGAGTTGGCAATGAGTTGACATGGTCAACTCATTATCCAATATTGGATAATGAGTTGGCAATGAGTTGACATGGTCAACTCATTATCCAATAGGGAAGGGACACATCACCTGTCCCACCCATTGGTCCCATATTTTGGGTCCTTGGAGCATTAATCGTATACAAAACAAGAAGTAATATTTGTATAGTAAAAATAAGGAACATGACACATACAGCTTGGAAGAGGAGCATCCTCATCAGACTCATTAAACTTGATCAGACCATCAGACTGATAGAACTGAAATTGTTCATCAATAGCTATGTGACTGTATTTATTCAAGCGCTTGTTTTGGAGAACTTCCTCCCAGACACAGTGACGATCATAATGGTTGGAGATAGCATACTCCGACCTCTTCCTCCATAAAAAATATTCAAGGATCACCATAGGGTCAGTTTGCAGTCTCAGTTTGCTATCAAGCCAAATGGAATACCTGAAACAATAAAATGTATATGAATAATTCCATGAGCACATGAGTTCAAAATAATGGTACAGATCATAAAACAAAAAGGATCATTGGCATATAATTATGGTCACTGCAGGAAACCCTACAAGAGGATCGCTTAACATACATGTCAGACAACATCAGAACATAAAGTAGGACTTTCTTGGCGGAAATTTTGACAAATATGAACACATGAGTTCACAAGTACAATGACGCAGATCATAAAACGAAAAGGATCATTGGTATATAAATATGGTCACTGCAGAAAACTCAACAAGAGGATCGCTCATACATGTCATACAATATCAGAACATAAAATAGGACTTTCTTGGTGGAAATTTTGACAAATATGAACACATGAGTAAACAACAATAGCACAGATTATAAAACAAAAAGGATCATTGGTATATAAATATGGTCACTGCAAGAAACTATACAAGAGGATTGCTCAACATACATGTCAACCAGTATCATAACATAAAATTGGACTTTCTTAGTGGAAATCTTGACAAATGACTAATCTCATACAAAACAAAGGTTGCTTTCTTGGTTAATGCATTACCTAGCAGAAGGGAATAGCCGGTGGGACAAAAATTTTGGAACTTTTCCAGTCCTTCGCATATCTATGTATGGCAAGTTCTTCACTAAAACGATTCTCCACAAACCAATATTTCCCTGGTCATCAGGAACTTGTCCTTCTGAAGAAAGTTTTTTCATTGTTAGCTCATCCAAGAACATCACGAAGCAAACATTGCTCTTTGAAAATGTTCCAATCTGCCGCAAACACAAGCTGGTAACATTTATTAGAGCTGAAACAAAACTGGTAACATTTATAACATGTGTTGCATCTTTCCGAGGTCATTTGCCATCACAAGAATTAGGACTACGTGAAATAACAAGTATGCAGAAAGTACAACATGTATAGTTTGATCACTCGCAGTCACCATTTAGTCAGCATTAGGAATGAAGATAAAACATACAGATGAAGTCAAAGAGATCAATAAATTTCCCAATTCATGAGAATTACCAAGTTATATCAATCAAGCATTGGCAGAATCAAGGTAGTTCCTAAAGCTAATCTTCTTGGAACCTTAATTTCAAGAAACCGCAAAGGCCCACAGTTAAGAAACGTTAGTTAGAATCAGGAGAGGTCATGTCAGAAGAAGGGTTTTAATACCCAGTGAAGTAGTGTAACTGTCATTTGTCACCGATCTTTCTTTGTTTTCTTTTTTTTAAAGGAAAATTGTCAACGCTTGTTATGAGCCTGAAAGACAAGGAAATGGCATAGAGGTCATAGAGCATGATGGTGGGAACACGGAAGGAATCATAGGCTATTCCGATGGAGGAAGACCACTGAATTGGCAGGGATCAGTGAGCAGTCTGTTAGTCTTCCAACATTGACAAGGAAAGTTACTTGACAAAGTGACAGGAAAGGCGCAACGGAGTAAATAAAAGGAATGAGCACTTTGTTAATTCGAATGACTTCTGAAGCGTAAAAGCTTCAAGAGAGCATAGAAGAAATCGGCTACCCAATGGAATTTGTCCAATAACAGATACTCCTTATAGGATGTTTTCCTAACATAAAAATTATGTGTAAACTGTGCACCATATGCCAACATTAAAAGAAAATGCAAATGATGATTTACACAATTACACTTCAAAAGTAATCTTTAAGACTTTAACTGACCGAAACATCCTAATGCGCATGAATTAAGGATCCATACTAACATAGGGAGCGCACAAATTGCGCCTAAACAATTATGGTAAATAAGATCAATATTGCTCAAAAAAATTTGAAATTGACTACATCAAGATAGAAGTAAGCCAAACCAATCAAGATTTTGACCGTGATTAATATCCCAACAATTCAAGAAATAAAAAAATATATGTAAATACAGTACTATCAAATTTTGTCGCTTTGGTTCATGGTAGGGGTATGGGACGTTGTCCGCCATTTTAAATAGTACACCATACAGAAATAATCTTAATCAAGTTAACTTTTAAGCTTGTGGAGAACCTAGGAGCGTTTCATGAGAATTTCAATTATGCATGATTTAGTTGTGTGCAGATGTACAAATAAGGCGTATGCACATACATTTTAAAGCAAATTTCAATTATACATGGAATGATAGAAGGTTTCATCATTTATTATCTAGAAAGCAAATATCAATATGATACTTATTGAAGTAATAGAACACAAACTACATTAATTAGTAACACAAGTTTTGAACTTCATTTAAATTAGAAAACCTAAGATCAACTCAAAAACAAAACCTACAGTGTGTCTTGAACAACACAAATAATTGTATAAAAATTTAAATATTAAAACGAAATATAAAGGAAAAGCTCATTTAATCAATTCTTCATCATTTTTCTCGTATTTCTTTGGTTGTCAATTTGGTGATCTGGACAGGAATACACCACGAACCAGAACAACACAAAGTGTACAACAGTTCATGGAGGTTGGCATGAATTAGCAAATATTGATATGAAATTTATTGAGGAAACTCAAAACACAAGCATGTTTGGAACTTCATTTAAATTAGCGATCTAAGATCATACTCAAAAGTAAAGAGTTATAGTGCAAGTCTTGAAAACCATGAATAACTCTATTAAGAGAGCAACATATGGAAAAAGCTCATTGGATCAATCATTCATCATTCATCTTTTAGTTCTTGGGATGCCAACTTGATATCTTGGACATGAATATTCCATGAAACAGAACAACAAAAAGTGGATAACAGTTCGTGGTTGTTGGCATGACTTAGGTAACACTGTGTAAATGTGTGTAGACTGTAGCGTAGCGAATAGGAACATGTTTATTATAGGACAAGCACTGCACTTTTAGAACACTGAAATCTATCTTCTTCATATTCATAAATCAGAGTGTTGCCACCTCATTTCGCAAAATAAGCTACAAAGATATAAAAGTGGTGTAGCCCACCTACTCCACGTGACAAGTAGGATGGGCCTCACCACTAGTCTACTTCTTGGCAGCACATTAAGCAAATGAGCTGCCACCTCATGCTAATTATGCTAAATGTGAATTGAGTAATTACTTACCATCTTGCTTGTTGGTCTCCTCAAAAAGTCGGAGCTCCCAAAAATGCAAGATGATACCACCACTCTGCAAGTAGCCATATATGCCCTGTCCCTTTCATTCAAATCAAATCCAGAGCTAGGATACCCATCTGGTCCTTTAACAAAGCCACAATGAAGTGTCTGATTTCTAGCAAAATATGAAGCTTCTCTTTCTTCAAGGGTCTGATGTCCACCAAACCGGGGTTCAAACAAAAAATTTTCATCAGATTTCTCCTCTTTAGTGACATAACTCAGTGAAAATTTTGTATAGTTCATGTAGCTTTCAGGCTCCACCAGATCATCAATTGTCTCCTTAAAGTCAACTTCGCATGGAAGATCTGAAAGGTTTTTGGCACAAAAAAATCATGAGAAAAACGCTACATATGAGAAGAATATTTTAGTAGATAAGAAAATAATAGCAAAATTACAGGAACTAATATGTTAGAATTACTAGTTTTTCACACAAAAATGAAGCAAGTACTTCTTTGATTGTAAAGCACGGCCGATGTGCATTCAGGTGGTGAAGAAAAACTTGAAACCATATGTTTGTGGCTTTTATACTTGCCTATAGTCGAGATGCACAATTTCTCCACTTCTCTTTACATTTCAATGGAAAACTTATTTTCATTTTTCATATTGTAATGAGTAGTAACTACATTATTATTATAAAATTCGGTCATAGATCTAATTCTTTGTTCTTACGAAAGAAACGTTGCATATTGACGTTGACTAGGACTCATACCCTGCCCAATAAGACATTCATTTCCGAAACTTGATTGAATAATCTATTAGCTGCATCTTTTGTTCATGTCCATATTAAGATGGTATAGGGTCAATAAGTTGGCTAACCCAGACAACCCTTTCTCCTAAAACTATTGACAAGAGCAGCATGGAAATTCTTCCAAGTTAGGCACATAAATCACAGGTTTCCAGCATTTTCCATGTTTTAAAGAACCCAATTGTTTATTGATGCATCTAAGTGAGGAATGTCTGCAAATATAACTAGGAGTTGAGCAGTACTTCAAGAATTAGCAATCAGATGAGATAAAATCGTTCACTAAAACTTCTAATTCTCAAATTTTTCTTACAAAGATTGTAGCAACACATCATAAAGAGTCTGTACTAAAGTCAAAATCAAGCAAGTTCTTTTTTTATTACCAGCTCACCTTCTAGCACTAATGTCTGAATGAACAGTAAAATATGAATTGAGTGCTGTCACCTGTTCATAAGGAATAATAGGAAGTAGAAGGATCCAGGTAAAAAAAGTTATTCTCTATCCAGACAATAAATGAGAAAACATGTTTCCATACATGCAAGTGATAGTTGATTGAGTTGAAAACTTTGGAAAGATGACTTGAGCACAATAGGAACATGAAGCCGATAGAAACAGGAAATGTAGAGTTGCAGATTCAAAGTTTTCAGAATGTTTTTCATATTTGTACAGTGAAAGAAAATCGATTTGGAAACATCATAGAGCTGCTTTGAGCAGAAAGAAACTGAAAGAATGGAAGTTGGCATGCAGTATTTTCTCCTCAGGGGGATTCTAAATCACTGTAAGCTATGTGCGTATAAAGACATGGAAAAATAAAGGGGGGGGACAAAAAATTTCACTGCACTTAAATTTTGTAGTATCATAGATTTGGTTACGGGGAATAAATAAGGAAAATATCACCAGAAAAAAGCCAGAATGAAAGGAACATGACATATGAGCAGCTTTTCAGTAGTGAAAATATGTCATAACCCACATTTGCCCTTTCCTTTTCTTTTTGGCCTTGTTGAACTACATATTTTATTAGTGACATTCAACATAGAAGAAAATGAGTGGTAGTTACAAAAAATTCACAAACATAAAAAAATTTCATAAAATTGAAAGCTCAGTTGGAAAGTTTGTCAAGGAAAAACTTACGACGCTTTCGAGACTTGGATTTTGAAGGCTTAGCGAGATCAGATTTCCATTTATTTTTATTCAAACTCATCATGGTGGGAGTGTCACCATCAGTCCTTCTATGGGAAGCTTTTCGTTCATTGTTGTAATGCAAGTTCAACTTAGGAAAAGTTGTAGAACTATGGAAGCCTTCATCAACTACAAAATGGGAATCTTTAACTTTGCCATAGTTATATATGTTGGTAGCTAAATGGTCATGAGCATATCTCCATTTTCTTTTCACAATCTCTATAGTCGTTGTTCCTTGATTGACCTGCGCATGGTGTAAACCTAACAAAATCCATATAGAACACAGTGGTAAACAAAATGAATTAATTGACAGTTAACATCTTACAACTGAGTGGAAAAAAAATAGTGTACACATGATGTTCTCAACCATCTCCTAAAAAAATCTCTTGAAATAGCTATTGATATAAATAGATCATTGTTTTAAAAAGCAGTCTGCACTTCCTCTTAGGTGGCTTCTTAACCTAAGCGCTACCCAGCCAGGTCGTACAAGTCTCGAGAGTGCCTAGAATGCGTCACGTATGTGGTCACATAGTGAAAAGGAGTATGATGCCTGTTAAGCATAGTAACGTGTGAGCCTCCTATTATTGATGTCATGGAGAAAAATGGTGCTAGGTTATCCCTATGTTTATGAAGACCATCCCTATATACACACGTATATAATATACAAATACACATGTACTTAGAGGACCATCGAGCTATATGTCACATATTTGTTTGCTTGTCTCATGACATCTGACATTATAAAAACTGCATTACATGGGCCTAGACTGTAGTTGTATGAAGTAATATAAAAATGAGATACAGGTGTCCAAGCCTCGCTAGCTTCTGAGTGGCCAACGCGGAAAACTCTGTAAACTAGAGTCCTGGACTCCCAAGGACTCTCTCACCTTCTAGCACTAATGTCTGAATGAACAGTAAAATATGAATTGAGTGCTGTCACCTGTTCATAAGGAATAATAGGAAGTAGAAGGATCCAGGTAAAAAAAGTTATTCTCTATCCAGACAATAAATGAGAAAACATGTTTCCATACATGCAAGTGATAGTTGATTGAGTTGAAAACTTTGGAAAGATGACTTGAGCACAATAGGAACATGAAGCCGATAGAAACAGGAAATGTAGAGTTGCAGATTCAAAGTTTTCAGAATGTTTTTCATATTTGTACAGTGAAAGAAAATCGATTTGGAAACATCATAGAGCTGCTTTGAGCAGAAAGAAACTGAAAGAATGGAAGTTGGCATGCAGTATTTTCTCCTCAGGGGGATTCTAAATCACTGTAAGCTATGTGCGTATAAAGACATGGAAAAATAAAGGGGGGGGACAAAAAATTTCACTGCACTTAAATTTTGTAGTATCATAGATTTGGTTACGGGGAATAAATAAGGAAAATATCACCAGAAAAAAGCCAGAATGAAAGGAACATGACATATGAGCAGCTTTTCAGTAGTGAAAATATGTCATAACCCACATTTGCCCTTTCCTTTTCTTTTTGGCCTTGTTGAACTACATATTTTATTAGTGACATTCAACATAGAAGAAAATGAGTGGTAGTTACAAAAAATTCACAAACATAAAAAAATTTCATAAAATTGAAAGCTCAGTTGGAAAGTTTGTCAAGGAAAAACTTACGACGCTTTCGAGACTTGGATTTTGAAGGCTTAGCGAGATCAGATTTCCATTTATTTTTATTCAAACTCATCATGGTGGGAGTGTCACCATCAGTCCTTCTATGGGAAGCTTTTCGTTCATTGTTGTAATGCAAGTTCAACTTAGGAAAAGTTGTAGAACTATGGAAGCCTTCATCAACTACAAAATGGGAATCTTTAACTTTGCCATAGTTATATATGTTGGTAGCTAAATGGTCATGAGCATATCTCCATTTTCTTTTCACAATCTCTATAGTCGTTGTTCCTTGATTGACCTGCGCATGGTGTAAACCTAACAAAATCCATATAGAACACAGTGGTAAACAAAATGAATTAATTGACAGTTAACATCTTACAACTGAGTGGAAAAAAAATAGTGTACACATGATGTTCTCAACCATCTCCTAAAAAAATCTCTTGAAATAGCTATTGATATAAATAGATCATTGTTTTAAAAAGCAGTCTGCACTTCCTCTTAGGTGGCTTCTTAACCTAAGCGCTACCCAGCCAGGTCGTACAAGTCTCGAGAGTGCCTAGAATGCGTCACGTATGTGGTCACATAGTGAAAAGGAGTATGATGCCTGTTAAGCATAGTAACGTGTGAGCCTCCTATTATTGATGTCATGGAGAAAAATGGTGCTAGGTTATCCCTATGTTTATGAAGACCATCCCTATATACACACGTATATAATATACAAATACACATGTACTTAGAGGACCATCGAGCTATATGTCACATATTTGTTTGCTTGTCTCATGACATCTGACATTATAAAAACTGCATTACATGGGCCTAGACTGTAGTTGTATGAAGTAATATAAAAATGAGATACAGGTGTCCAAGCCTCGCTAGCTTCTGAGTGGCCAACGCGGAAAACTCTGTAAACTAGAGTCCTGGACTCCCAAGGACTCCCAATAACACTTTCCACAAGGTAATGCTAAGAAAGTATGCCACATTGGTAAAGCAAGAATCCCCATTTCTTCAAAACCCCACTGAGTTTCACTCAAAAGCAAGAATCCCCATTCCTTCAAAAGCCGTACAATCAGTTCTCCCAAGGTTCCAAAAGCCTGGTCATTTCTAGCTGGATTGAAGTGTTGAGGGATCCGAGTCTGGATTAAAACTCCGGGTGATCTAGCTGGACGTAGCGGCATCTTAAGGAATTATTGGCAAAATCAAATTCCTCTATAAATTTATTTTGTTTCTACCCTGTTACTACATCCCGTGAGAAAAAAGATTCACACTTGCAGAAGAGTCGTCTAATATCGAATCAATTAAAGAAGAAAGTGAACGAAAAGGAATTGATAATCTCACCTCGAAAGGGGAAATTTACGCCGAAAAATGAGACGTAAATGAGAGACAAGAGAGAGAGCGAGAAAATCGTCAAAGCGAACCTCCGCCTCCAGAATCGAATCGGTCTCTTCCCACCATCGCGTCTCCGGTGGAGAGCCATTCTCTCAAGAACTCTGTCTTCGATTCAAAATTTCTCATGGAGGAGGGAAAATCCTCGAGTCGACAGAAAGATCTCCATGTTTTCGCAAGCTCCAGATCTGAGTTAAGGGCTAGGGTTTTGAGGGACGGAGAGGATTTGGATCTGGGGAGAGAAGAACGAGGAGAGTGAGTAAGCGAAGACGTTAATTAGCCGCGATCGGTAACTTACTTTTGCGAACGCCAACGCGGAGTAAAAGGGCAAATAGGATGCTTGGCTGGGACTCCTATGTAATTTCGAAGATTCGAGTGACTAAAGTGAAATTATTGAATATTATAAGGGACTGCAGTGCAATTATTTAAGACTAAGGGACTAGTACTGACAAATTTTAATCTACTCATCTCCAACAGTTTATCCAAAATTTTCTCTAAAATGAGGAAGCAAAAGTCATATTCTTCAACTAATTTTTACACCAACTCTAACAGCTTCCCCATTTTGAAGAACCCATTTTTTCCTCCAAAAATTTGGAGAATGCTGCAGATTTGGGGAAGCTTCCCCATTTTTTCTCCTCCATCCCTATTTTAGGGAATGAGATAGGGAATCTGTTGGGCCAAAAACCTAACTAAATTCTCCAAAAGTGAGAAATGGGGAAGCTGTTGGAGATGCTCTTATACAAACAGGAGAACCTAAATTTACTATTTATGCTACAATAACATTATATCACAGTAGCAATTTTGATCTACTCCTTCATACTGTAGCAATTTTGAAAAAATATCACCCTAGCACACGAGAAAACTGTAGCATTAAAAAAATCCGTAGCGACGGTGAAACTATAGTAAACAAAAAAATTAAAATATTGCTGTAGCATTTAAAAATCGAGATTACTGTAGTAGAATTTTTTTTTTGGATCCGGATCCTCTCCTAATGAAAAGCTCCTAATAAGGAGATTATACCCTTTCATTTTTATCATGGTCTTTCATTTTCTCACCCATCCTTGTGGGTCCCCCTCCCAACTCTTCGCAATTCTTCAGTAGGAAATGAAAAATTCCTCAAGGACAAAAAATATGGGACCAATAGGAGGGACAAGTGAGGTGTCAACATCATATTAGATAATGAATTGGTCTATTATTAATGATGGTCAACTCATTATCCAATAGGAGGTGGACATCTCACTTGTCTTTCTTATTGGTCCTATTTTTTGAGTCAATGTAGCAAACCTTTTAGGAAATAATAGGATGAGAAGAGGATCCAAATTCTCGTGTTTTGACTAGTATATAAATAAGGAGGAAATCGAATAATTAACAGGAGAATAAGGTCATTTCACGTTAACTGCTGCAACACCTAAAGCCCTAACCTTGGTAATCCCCCTCATCATCCTCTCTTCCACCATCAATTTCTGCGGGAATTGGCGAGAATTTTAAAAAAGAGGGGCTTTCTTCAAATCACAGAAACCCTAATCTTCTCTCGAGGTGAAATTCCAGCTCTCTCACTTTTTAGCTCTCGCATCAAATTGCTTCAAGTTCGTAAAAATCCCCCCTTAAAAATTGTAGAATTTTACAAAATGTCTGCAAAGTGGCGAGCTTTGCAACACAGGCACAAATACACTTACAGTTCAGTCGTCTTCCCCAAATCCTTCATCGAAACCCTTAAGCTAATCCCTTCACAAATCTGCTCATCCTTCGGGTTTTTCTCCGACTTGGAAGAATTGATCTCGCTGAACTCCACTTACTCCCAGCTCTCTGCGGTCAAATCGCTGTCTTCATCTTTCTCCCAGTTGCTCTCCTCTGAAGAAGCGACCGCTGACATTGTTGCCGCTGCTTCTAAACTCTACTTGGAAATCTTATTTCTCGAGAACTCTCTGCCTCTTCATAGAACCCTAATTTCTCCATTAACTAAGAGCAGAAAGTTCCTTCCTTTGCTTAGCGAATGCTTTGAATCTCTATGCGAGGAGTATGGTGATTTGAGTAGGAAGGGAAAGAAGAGGTTTGTAGTATCGCGGGCTGCTTTGTCGTTGATGGGATTTCCAAAGTTGGGATTTCTAAATGAGACGGTTGAGAAATGCGCGGTTTTGGTGGCAAAGGATGTGAGGTTCGGATTGACGGGGGTGTTTTTGGATATAGAATGCGGGTCCCGACCATCACCCATTGTGATGGAGCAATGCCAAGAGGCGATGTCATGCTTGTATTACCTGTTGCAGAGGTATCCTACCAAGTTTTTGGGGTTGCAAGGGGGTGCGGACGCTTTGGAGAGTGTTGTTAGAAGCATACTTAATGTATTGAAGTCGTCGGCTTTTTCAAGAGATTGCTTTGTTGCTGCTGGTGTCAGCTTCTGCGCCGCCATTCAGGCTTGTATGAGCCATGAAGAGCTCGCTTCTTTTATTTCCAGAGGGTTCTTTGGCATTTATGGTGCTGATGGAGAAGTCGGGGACGTGGGTGTGAAAAAAGTAATGCCTAATGGTGATTTGTACTTGGAGATTGCAGATTTCCCAGTTCTGAGCAGGCTTTGTATGCTTAGAGGGATTCTTACAGCTATTCCCAGGACTGTGCTCAACGCCCCTTTTGTTGATCCAATTAATCAGTTCATATGGACGATATTGTATAATGGCATTCTTCCAGAGCTCTGTAGCTATTGTGAAAATCCTGCTGATAGCCATTTCAATTTCCATGCGCTGACAGTGACACAGATTTGTTTGCAACAGATTAAAACATCGATTTTAGCAGATCTTACTGATTTTTCTGTAAATTATAATCCGCTCCCTGAAGGGATGATGAATCGCATACTGAAAATAATTTGGAGTAATATTGATGACCCTTTAAGTCAGACGGTCAAGCAAGTGCATCTAATCTTTGACCTCCTTCTGGATATCGAGGCATCTCTTCCATCAGGAGAAGATGGTGACAGGACTGAGTTGTTGCTGTTGAAGATTGTAACGGATCTTCTTTGCCTGGGGCCACGTTGCAAGGGCAGGTATGTGCCTTTAGCTTCTGTCACCAAACGATTGGGTGCAAAATCTGTGCTCGACTTAAATCCCAACCTCTTATCTGAGACAGCATATGCTTATGCAGATGATGATGTCTGTTGTGCAGTGACATCATTCTTGAAATGCTTTCTCGAGTGCCTACGTGATGAATGTTGGAGCCATGATGGTGTTGAGAAAGGGTATGAAACATTTAGAGGGCTTTGCTTACCCCCTATTTTGCATGGGCTCACATCTGGCCATTCAAAACTCCGATCGAATTTGAATACTTATGCTCTACCAGCAGTTCTTGAAATTGATACAGACAGCATATTCCAAATGCTTGCATTTATCTCGGTTGGTCCAAGCAGGAAAGAAAATAGATTCACTTTAGACTTAAAAATTGATCAGTGTGTAGCTGCACTGGTTTCCTTGCTTAAGGTTTCTCGCACCCTTGCTCTACTTGAGGGGGATATTGATCTAGACCAAGATTTGTCAGTGCAACCGAAAAGTTCTGATCAGGCTGCTCTTATATGTGTAAAGGGGATAAATGTCACAGTACCCGTCAAATGGTTTGTCTTGGCACTGACCCATGCTGATGAAAGTCTACGTATAGATGCTTCTGAGTCTCTCTTCCTGAACCCCAAGACAGCCAGTCTCCCATCATCACTAGAGCTCAGCTTGTTGAGGGAGGCAGTGCCACTAAATATGCGATGTTGTTCAACAGCCTTTCAGATGAAATGGACAAGCTTATTTAGGAAGTTCTTCTCTAGAGTGCGCACAGCATTGGAGAGGCAGATGAAACAAGGTTCATGGCAACCAGTTGCTTGTATTGATAAAAATGGGGTCAGCAGTTGTCAGTATGATGATGCAGTGGTGGTGTTTTCTAGAGCAGAAAACCTTTTCCACTTCATGAAGTGGCTCAGTTGTTTTCTTCTTTACTCATGTTATCCCTCTGCACCATATGAGAGGAAAACCATGGCAATGGAGCTTATTCTTATCATGGTTGATGTCTGGCCTACGAGTATTGCTCAAGGAAAAGATTCTCTCTGTCCTTATAGTGAAGGGTTTACTTCACCAGAATCAACATTATGCTTAGTTGGGTCTATAATCGATAGTTGGGATAGGCTGAGAGAAAACTCTTTCCGCATTCTTTTATCATTTCCAACCCCACTTCCAGGAATTTCCTCTCACAACTCAGTAAATGAATTGATTAAGTGGGCGAAGAAGTTAGTTTGCAGTCCACGTGTTAGAGAGAGTGATGCCGGTGCATTGGCTTTTCGGCTCATATTCAGGAAGTATGTATTGGAGCTAAAGTCGGTAGTTGGAGTTTGTAATGATGTTTTTCTCAATTCTCAATCTGAGTTTATAAATGGACAGGTACAAATGATTAAAGTCAGGTCCCCTGTCGTCGAATATATATCTTCACTTATTGAATGGCTGGACAATGTTGTTGAAGAAGGGGAGAAGGACCTTTCAGAAGCATGTAGAAATAGTTTTGTTCATGGAGTATTGCTTACACTCCGCTACACATTTGAGGAGTTGGACTGGAATTCTGAGGTAGTCCTGTCCTGTAACTCTGAGATGAGATGTATGCTAGAGAAGCTTCTGCAACTACTTATGCGTGTGACTTCATTGGCCCTTTGGGTGGTTTCGGCAGATGCATTGTCTATTCCATATGACATGGATGATGTTCTTGATGATGGTTCTTTCCTCATAGATGAGCAGGTGGAGATGGCTGCATCTGAATCCTTGCCAGAACCTGTTGATGCAAAATTGAAATTGGAGAATGATGGCAGGCCAGCAGAACAGGCTGTCATGGTTGGTTGTTGGCTTGCTAGAAATTTCTATGTTTTCTTTTTTGCTATTTCCCTCTCTTTTTTCCCCCAGAATTAGCCTTTTTTTTATTGTTGATGAGTCATTTTTGTTATGAATTACAGCACCGTATTTAATCAATCAAAACTGAATTTTAAATTGAAATTTGAATGAACGGGGAAAAAATATCTTGACTTTTTTTTATTGTTAGTTTTTAGCTAAAAAATAACTTGCTAAAGCTTCTCATTAATAATTTATTGCGAGTTTTTAGTTAAAAACGAAGCTGTTTTATTTCAGATTAGTCTTCTCTTGGGAACCATCGTCAGAAAAATTCCATTGCCAAGCACAAGCAGCACTCTTTCTGATTCTTCTGATGGCTGCACTTCTGATGAAATGGGATTGGCTGTTGAGCCTGATCCAATGCTTGACTTGCAACAGTTGGAGACGATTGGGAACCATTTCTTACAAGTCCTTCTGAAAATGAAGCATAATGGTGCAATTGATAAGACGAGGGCCGGTTTCACTGCTCTATGCAATCGCCTTCTTTGCTCAAATGACCCAAGGTTTGCTTTGTGTTTCTGGTTCTGTTGTTGTGCTGTTCCTTCTGCTTGTAGGATTCTTGAAAGACTTGATAGTGTTGCTATAAAATATCGCTATTAGTTTTCATCGTTGCACTTGTGTGTTTACCAGTGACAGAAAGTGCACCTTGGAATATATATTAAATCCAACGTGGGTGACTAAAGATCAAAATCTCTATTGCCAAGCAACAGTTCGCTTCTGCTATTATACAAAAAACACTTCTATAAAATTTACACATATAAGAACGTTTAAGTAATTGATGGATGTATAATTTCACCTTGTTGTATAGTTCTTTAAGTACAACAATAGAACACCAACTGAAGGAGACGCCTGTATACTGATTAGGCATGTTAATTTACTTATTTATGTGGAAAATTTGCTATCAATGGCTTTATTTTTTGTTTTTATTTTTATTTTTATTTTTATTTTTATTTTGACTTTCTAAAGTTGATTGCTGCTATTCAGCTATTCCCTTCACAAGTACGAGTAATCCTAAGTATAACGTGCTTATCTCAACCCAATAGCTCTTCTAAATCTACGTTTGTAAGCATATATGGACCTGATAGACCAGTATTATGTGTTTCCATACTGTAAACAATTGCAATGCTAGAAAAGGGTTTGACCAAGAAATATAGTTAGAGTTATTCTTCGTGTTAACTGTAGTTTAAAAGCAGCACTTTGGTATTTTTCATACAGTCCTTATGAAGTATACTGTACTTCAAGAATAGCAAAAACAAATATTATAATAAATCCTTATGCTGGTATGCAAGGTACCTGCGTGTGAGTATAGACAATAATTTTGCAATGTGATGAAAAAGCTTTGTCCTTTCCAGGCTTTGCAAAATGACAGAGTCATGGATGGAGCACCTAAAGGAAAGGACCATTGCCAAGGGGCAAACTGTGGATGATTTATTGAGGAGAAGTGCTGGAATACCTGCTGCTTTCATTGCTCTTTTCCTTTCAGAGCCGGAAGGAACACCGAAAAAATTACTTCCCAAAGCATTAAGGTGGTTGATAGATGTTGCTAAGATGTCAGTCTGCAACACCCATGAAGATGATAATGAGAAGAGTGAAGTGCTGCATAACAACTTTATGAAAAATCAATCGGAAACTTCCACAGAGGAAGTACGAGAAAATGGAAGGGTCTCAAAGATCCGAGATGAGGGGGTAATACCAACTGTTCATGCATTCAATGTACTTAGAGCTGCTTTCAACGATGCAAATTTGGCGACTGATACATCAGGGTTTTGTGCTGAGGCTATGATTGTTGCGATACGCGCATTCTCATCTCCTTACTGGGAAGTGCGTAACAGTGCCTGTCTTGCATATACTGCATTAGTTCGTCGTATGATTGGATTTCTCAATGTTCAGAAGCGCGAGTCAACAAGACGTGCATTGACTGGGCTTGAATTCTTCCATAGGTAATAGTTTCAACTATGTAAACTTTTGCTGCACAAACTAATACTAACCTGTAGCAGTTTCTACTTTAAGATTCATTGTTACCCAGAAACCTTTGTGGCATTAAAACCTTTGTGGCATTAAACTTACCTTTTAAAGAATAATATGGAAGTAATGGCTTTACTAGAAAATTCTTGATTGATTGCATTGAAAATATGAATCAAGGCTGCTTCCTTTTTTTTTTGTTTGCTATGGATTACTTCTTTATAAACCGCGATATAAGTACGGAAAATTTTGTGATGATCTACGTTGAGGGAGACATCACGATTTTTTTTTTGGGGGGGTGGGTGAGGGATCGGTTAAAAACTACTTCACTATTTAAAAGTCCTAAGAACTTGCATCTTTCATGCAGAGTATTTGTACCTGATAATTTTGAAGTTCTGGCTTTGATTAGTGAAATCTTAGGTGGGATTTCCGAAATTCTTTGATTCTAAGAAGTTTCATCATCATTTCAGCCTTTCATCATCACAGTGAGTTTTAGCTGTGGTCTACTAGGATAGGACTGGACATCACTTGATTTATGATTTCTGTTGAGATTTGAGGAAAACAGGTGCAAGAGAGAATGCTCTCAATAAGGTTAAACCACTTCGCAGTTGGGGAAAGTTAATCTACTTCTTGTGCAATTTGCAATTGTGCGAGGAAGGAGAAACTCTCCAACATCACTAGATGGAGAAAGATTTCTAAGTCCAGAGAAGATGGATTTGCTATAGCAATTGCATTCACTCAAAACACAACTGCACAGGAGATTGCCAAGTGGCCAAACTGGAGTGTGATTCTTGACTCATTATATTTTATCTATAAGGCAATCTCTGTACATGCAAACTTTCTTCTCTCATTTTAATCATTTTACTTGACTGCAGACTGGATTCTTCTTTATAGGTCCTATTCCCCCCCACCCCCCACCCCCCCTCCGAAGTGTCACAAAGATGAAAAGTGCAGAATGCTGACAATCATTCTCATCTTTTTAAAATAAGTAACTTATTGTATGTGGTTTAAGATAATATACAAATCAGTCACCAACAGAAGGTGAAAATAACTTGACATGCATTCCTCATATAGTAAGCAGTATGCCATCTTTATGCTGGGTCTCCATTGGAACAAGATCATGTTGCTTATTATGACTGTCATGTTATTTGAATATGCGAACTCACGAGCTTCTGGCTACAAAATAGTAAACAGAGTACCATCATCTTTATGGTGGGCCTCCATTAGAATGACATAACTGTTCCTTAATTTGACTTTGTCATGTTATCAGAATATGGAAACACACATGTGACAACACATTTGCGCTTAAATTTCTCTTTTGCACTATCTAGAGACAACATTCTATTTGCTTTTCTTCACTTACACTGTTGGTCTTGAATCACATTCGTTTGAATAGCATGTTTCAATTATCAAGTATAGTAGGGAAGCACATTGCCCAAGGCTCCCACAGGTTTGGTGTGAGGGTCAGATGCATTACCATGATTCTTTGGATGTTACCTTTTCTGGCGCTTAATATTCTAACATCCAGAGGGGGTGGGAAGTTGAAAAGGAGCAGCCATACCGAGGAACATAGGATCCAATTAATTAATGTTTTCTAGTTAAAGACTTCTTGTAAGGGGTTAAAAATGTGTTGACATTTTAATATCCTATGTACTTTTTCCAGATTCATACACTTTTCTTCATTAACATAAACAATACATCTTTCCTTTCTCACAGATATCCAGCTCTGCATCCTTTCTTGTTGAGCGAATTGAAGATTGCCACCGAACTGCTCAATGATGGTAGTTCTAGACATGCAGAATCTAACATTGCAAAAGCTATTCACCCAAGCTTGTGCCCCATTCTCATCCTTCTATGCAGACTCAAACCTTCTCTAATCAGCAGCGGGAATGATGATATTTTAGATCCATTTGCATTCACGCCTTTTGTCAGGAGGTGTGGAACCCAAAGTAATCTCCGAGTTCGTGTGCTTGCTTCAAGGGCTCTAGTTGGTTTGGTATCTAATGAAAAACTGCAGGATGCCCTTAGCATCATAGCTCAAGGTTTGGCACATGGAAGATCTCCTACGTCTGTCAATATGAGCAATGGGGACAAAACTGCTGTTTCCCTTTCTTTCAATTCGATTCATGGAATCCTGTTGCAGTTGTCTACACTTATTGATAACAATTGCAGAAACTTGACTGATACTAGCAAGAAAGAACAAATTGTTGGTGAACTGATCAGGGTTATCTCGAACTGCTCATGGATTGGCAGCACTAGGTCATGTCCTTGCCCTACTTTAGTTTGCTCATATTTGAGAGTTTTAGATGAGATGCTTGTTATTGCAAGAACTTCAGCTATAAGCCACCATGTCACTACCATTCAAAACCTTTTGTTGGAGTTAGCCTCTGAGTGCCTGGATGTACAAGGATTATTTGGGCCAGCTCTGCATGATCCAACTATAGTTGAGCTCCGGGGGCAAGCAGCTGCCTCCTATTTTGGCTGCCTATTTGCAGAGACTTCAGAAGTACATGTGGAAGAGTTTCAAGCTCAGGGATCTGCTCCAGCTACTTCCCACCTCTCTAACATGGCACTTCATGAAAGAATAACTTCTTGCATTTCAGATACAATGCATGAAGTCAGAGACACAACGCTGAAGAAGCTCTTTGGATTATTGAAATCTATGAAGCCTAATGATCGAAAAGGAGCTATTGCCTTGTGGGCTGAGACCCATCTACAATCTATGATGATGTCACGACTAGCTGTGGAAGAGAGCCCAAAATGTATTTATTACATTTTGAAGATCATTTTCTCTTGGCATACTCTAGAATGGGAGGTCAACACTGCCGTGGCTGATCTTGAATCTGTGCTTGGCTTCTGGAAGAGGTTGGTCCTTTTGAACAGCACAGTAATGCGCTTGAAGACCCGAGAAATTCTCATATGCTGCATGGCCATGAGTGTAAAGCAGTTGGTCGCTTTGCTTCATAGATTTATCGAAGGAGAGTGTGCTGACCGGAAGGGATTGGTTGAAGCTCTTGATTGTATCAGTTCTTTTGTTGTGCTAGTTAAGCAGCACAGCTTACCATCAGAGCCTGTGAACATGAGGAAGGCAGCAGCTGAAGCCATAGTAGCGTCTGGGTTGCTTCAGGAAGCTTCATCAATTGCATCATTCGTATGTAACGATCCATTTGAAGCGCCTCAAATTATCGAAGTCGAGGACATTGGAACTTCTAAATTAGATTTACCTGCGGCAACCAGTTTCTATGCTCGTAGAATACTAGACTTATGGTTTACGTGTATACAGCTCTTGGAGGATGAGGATTTTGCTCTGAGGCAAAAGCTTGCTAATGATGTCCAGAAGTATGTAAATTCTGAAGGATTGGAGGGAAACCGAGACCATGACACTGTACCAAGTCAAGTCGATCAGGTGATTCAATCAAGTTTTGTGTTCTTGTCAGCAATCTTTGGCCGCTGGATCGAGTACCTGAATTGCTTGTGTGGGTACGTCCTCAGTGCTGCTGGTTCGGTGAGTTCTCAAGGAGACTTGGTTCGGAGGATATTTGACAAAGAGATTGATAACCATCATGAAGAAAAGCTGCTGATATGCCAAATTTGCTGCTGCCATCTGGAAAAACTCCTGGTTCAGAAATCTACAGAAGTTGGGTCGCATCCTGAGCGCTTGGTTGAGAGAAATGTTGGGATTTTCTTGAAGACGTGGAGGCTTAGATTCTTAAAGCAATTGACATCCTTCGCCAACAGTTGTGTTGAGTCTGTGAAGGTAGCAGACTGGATTGGAGGCATAGGTAACCACAAGGATGCTTTTATATCGATGTATGCAAATCTGCTAGGCCTTTATGCTCTCACACAAAGCCACTATCTGTGGCAGCTAGATAATGATGAGAGCAAGGTGAACTCGTCGGAGTTTGCTGAACTTAAAGGGATTATCAGACCATTTCTTGGAAATCCATTGATTTCTAACCTGTATTCGTTAGTCATCCAATCGCATGAGAAGGTGCATGCAGTTTCATTGGCTGCAGAATACAGGAGAGATTGTTTGAACTGGGAAGGTTTTAATCCCTATTTTCTTCTTAGGTGATGCCAGCTGTTGAAACATTCAGATTTCAATTTAATGTAATTTGTAAACGCACACTAACACAAGTCATTTATTAAAAGTTGATTCAATGGTATATTCAGAGAACGCGTTGTTTTATATGACAAAATCAGGCATATTTATAAGGGCTATGCTATTTGACTCGCGGGTTGGGCAACTCGCGCCCAACTCGCAGTCACTGAGTAGGGGGGTGGGCCCCACAACTGTTGAGACACCAGGCACCACGTATCAGTCAATTAGATGAGTGGCTACTTACAGAATCAGAAGAGGACTTCGCTCTTCTAACATAATATCTTGGTCCTAATCTTTATATTAAATTTTAGTTCTTAAATGCGAAACAAATTCAATACAATGCGTTATATATATACAGTGATGAATCAAAGATCGAACTTCTTAAAATTAGTTATACATTAAAGCTCCACTTGAATAACAACAGTTAATAACAGACCGTGTCCATGAACCGGTCAAAATCAGTAGAAACAGATCCAACCAGCCGGGGATTTACTGAAAGGGCAAAAATTAGTCTTCACCTAGACGCTCGAGCTTCCCACAAACCAAAAAGATTTAACTTGCTTATTTCCCATAATTCGAACTTAATCAAGGCAAACGATCATATAGTTCATTTCCAGCAGAGGAGGGTCACAAAATTTTGAGGCAAAGCAAAAGTTCACACGCTTGTTTCGACGCGAAGTTGGAAGCTACTTTGTGTTACTCATGCCTCCAACAGAACTAGAAACTAACCGTGAGGCTTATTTCATTACTAGCTTCATGACCTTTCATGCTCTTGGGGGAGCATAGCACTTCTCAGATATAACAGAATTTTGGCCGCTAGCACTCGAATTTAAACAACAATAAACTAATTTTTACCATTGCAAAAGCATGAGAGACAAACTACAAGCTACGCTGAAAGATTATGCTATAGCATTACATTTATAAATCAACACGAGGAATATATTTTGAACAGGTGGAAAGAATAAGATAAGTTGAATTCCTTGAATTCCTTCCTCCACATGTATCAGCTGCAAGTTGATACCCCTCAGCAGAAAATATCAAAATACATAGCTCAGGTACTACCTCTATCCTCTCCCTGGCGGCTTTGATAGTTTAGAACTGGAAGCTAAACTCGTCCTGAGAAAATTGCTTGGCTTTGAGGCACGAGAGATTCTGCAAAACAAGCAGAGCAAAAACAAAGAGCGTGATAAAAGAAGGCAAAGGGAAATATCAAATAATGAATTTATCCTCCATCCATACATCTAGCATTCACAATTCTAAAGGAGAATTAACAAGAAATATTGAGTCAATACCTCTCGGGTGGAGAGATCTTTCGCTGTAAAGCATTTTTCCTCATAGTTGCATGAATTTTTGCCTCGTGACTGTTTGCGAGAAAAAGAAAAATAAAGAATAGTAACTAGTTAGAAAACTTGTAAATGCAAGACTCTCCTAATCATATACAGACAGGAATATTGAATTTCTACAAAAGTACTTTGACCATTACCTTTGAAGAGACTCTAGCTTCGCCTTTTTCAAAATATTACTCTTCAGATTGGAAACATTGTAAGAAGTGCTTCCTGCAAAAAGACATTATAGTAACGTAAGTTCCAATCGTTAAGAATCCAAAAATAAGCACATAATGGCTACATCCAGTGGGCACAAGGATGATGAAGGCATACCTGAAGGGTAGCTTCTTTTACAGCTTGATGGTGGCTCCTTCTTAGTATATTTCACTTGTCGACTCAGTTTTTCTGGTAGAGGAGAGGGGGAGAAAAAAACGTAAGACCATCAATTACCTTTATGGCACCTTCATAAGTACAAACAGAATGCTGGTTGAATTCTAGTCAAGTGATGATTATATAACATTAAGTATAGGTATCACCAGAGAAAGGTCACTGCAAGCATTAACGGAGCAGAATTCGTTTCCGGACAGGAACATATCATGTAAAGTGCAATGTCGCTCTGAGCAATGATCGTTCATATCATGTCTCAGATAGTGCTCTCAACAAATATCCTATTTAAAATTTGTAAATTAAATAAATGACACATTTGTTCACTACACTGTAAGAAAACAATAAGTTACATGTATTTTCTTGGTGTGTCCTATGACTCTATCTATGTTGTAACAATAAGGACAATACATTTGCCAGATTTTTTTGGCTAATTACATAATCGTAATCTTGATTAAATTAACAAATAACACAGCCTTTGTAACCACTACATTCTAGTGGACATTAATAGGCCTTTGCTGGACATGCGCGAACTATTTGATTGATTCTCTCCATTTTCTCCTCAGTTAGAGAGCCATCTCGTGATTTCTCATGCATGGAGTCACGATTCTTGTAATAAACTTATAACGTAGCCAGTCCACCTAAACATTCTAATTTATTACAGGTGCTGTTTGGACAAGTTTTTTGACTTCATAATATTTTGAACTACAGAACATTGTCAGTCATATATGCCTCACAGAATTATCATCTTCAATTTCATGGGTATACTTCTGTGATCAAGCTACACAACTATGCGGATAATTTTAGGCTTTAGCTGTCCCGCTTTGACGTTATGATTCATTAATCATCATGATGGATGACTGATAGTTAAGCAGCGAAAATGGTCACTAACTATTTCATTTACAACTTTTGGCAATGGCATGAACACGGATCACTTTTGTCCACCATAGGTCGTCCAAATACTTTGTTAGCACATACCCTGGGCTATGTAGTCAGAACCAATAATTGCTATATCCTACCTTCCCTCTTTCTATTGTTGCATAATCCCTCTCCTTTTCCTCTGGAATTTGAATTTCTACATCTGTATATGCCAGATTGTAAGGCACAACTTTAAGATCACTTTTTGGTTTTACATTGACCGCTAGTGTTTCAACTCCCAGAACCGCACATCTAAATGCAACTAATAGTCATGTATTTTCAACGCATTAAGTATAAACAAAAGAGCATGCACCTTAATGTGAGCAGTTACTTTCGTTTGAAGGTGTTTCTAAATCTGCCTTAACAAACTGCAAGGCGCATAAAGTGGGCGCACTAGTCTTCACAATAACAGTTGGGATCATGCATGGTGTTTCCTTCATCCATGACGCCTAAATCAACCACTCTATCCACGGCGTTCACTGAATGGTCCTTTGTATTCTCTTTTGTCAACCTCTATGGAAGCTACGTCCAAGGGTGGAGGACCCAGTCACCAGCACCGAAAAGATCCAACCACTCATGCACAATTCCAGCACAATATTTTCACCAAAAAGAGTTCTCTTCTGTCACATTCTGACCGCTATTTATAGTTCATATTTCAACCTTGTTTGCCTGGTGATCATTGATGCTTCCCAAATTGACCACTTACGTGTAAATGTAAGTGTTGCTGTCTCCCAAATTGACCACTTAGTGCAAATGTAGGTCAGCGGCAGTTGGCCATTTAATGCCAAGAAGGCAAGAAGGTTCTCAGTGGACAGTGGCTAGTAGCTCTATGGAGAGGACGCAACGCACAACTGACGCTACTTTATTTGACTATAAGATTCCTTATCAAAACTCAAAAGCTAGTCCCTTTAATAGCCATACTTATTTCAACTATTATATCACGAGGAATCTATTGAAATGCTGGCAATCTGCAACTTCCAAGTGTAGCTATCCTACGCTCCACACCTTAGGCAACACACTTCTGTAAACAGACACGCCGGACGAAGAAACCAATCTTAAACCTGTCATAACTAGTTCACTATCCAAGCAACATAAGAATCACATTGTCATTCACAATACAGTGAGAGCCTAATCGATGAATCAGATCACTAGAAGCATCAAAATCTTGGTTTGAACACCGCAATGAAACTAAACCACATGCAAAGAGATGAAGAAACACTCACTCTCTTCCTCTTCTTGATATCTTTGTTTAAGTTTCAGTTTTAATTTATCCTTAAACGCTTCTCTCTCCTTGTATTTTGCCTGCACAAAAACAGAAGCGCGTGTTTTTCACTCATTAGAAGAGATAAACAATAACATAAGTCACAATAAAATTCTCGATAGGAAAAAAAACTGAATCAATTACTTCATAGAGCTGTCGCCATTTAAATACGACTTGCTTCTGTCTCATCCTTCCAATTACAACATCAGAACTTTCCTTGCCAAAGTCCTTCTCATAAAATCTCTTCCACAAATCATCAGTCACCGAGCTAAGATCCCTTCCCTAATTAGACCAAAAAATAGCAATAGCATCATCATTTGAAAACTACTCAAAATAAAATCTACGAAAAAGAAGAAGAAGAAGAAGAAGATAAAATCTTGATCAAGACTCACTTCTGTTGAATTCTCAATGTGCCTCAATTGATCAATATCGCAGTGAGGCAAGATACGCTGCAAAAGATGAGCGTCGACTTCGCCGACGTCAGCCATGTATCGGAGATTATCGATTGCCGTTTGGATGCACAGATCCAACAAAGATGGGATCTTTTTCTTCTTATGCATCGTCAAATCCATAATTATCAAGTGAAAAAAAACCCTAATCAAAGCAACGGATGATTAGATCCTGTAACGAATCAAGAAATTCCCATTAACACATATCAAAGGGAGGGGAATTTTACCTTATGCGGATCCTCGATGGCCGCTGATCAACGAAGAATCAATGAAAGATAGAGACAATATTGAAAATTTTAAATTATTTTTAATTTTCTCTCTTTTTCCTAATTCCCTTTTTTCATCTCATCGCCATTGTTTTTTCCCCAGCAGGTATCTCATCAATGTTGACCTGCGATACGATCACCGCCTGTAGGCTGAAGAGGGCTTTAACCGTGGGGGTAATTCTAGCTGGAGGTGGGGGACGGAGGAGGGAAGGGAGGTGACCAGAACGCAGATTATTTCCCTTCTTGTTACGTAATTGAAAGGGACGGATGATCCTCGTGTGCGATAAATCGGGTCGGGTTCGATTTCGTATTAATTTAACTCGACCGCAAAGTGTTACCACCCTAAATAGTAAACTCCGATTTAATACTAACTTTTTAATTAAAGTAGGGTTTTCTTATATATTAGCCCCTTAAAAGTATTTTGTATTAGCCCCTCACGTCTTCATATTTTGCTATTAGTCCTTCAAATTATCTTAATACGTTGATATTAGTCCCTCTAATTAGTTGGTGTTAAGCTAGATGGAGAATATTCTATTTTATTTGCCTTTTTCTTGAATGGACAGTTACACTCCTCGGTTTATAAACCCAAACCCATAGCCCATTTACTTGTGACCGTCCAAAAAAATAACGGTATTTAATAGGATTATCTTTCTAAATTTAAACCTGTATCTATTTTCATACAGATTCGTATTGCATCCACTTTTACCCAGCTTAGGGGTTTGTTTGCATACAAGTAAAAGATATAAGTGAGAAAGTTACTTTCATTTAACAATTAAGGTGTTTGTTTTCATATAAGTGGTTATGAAAATGAGATGCAAGAAAGTTACCACATATGATTTAATGCAATTTTAACTTTCCCTGAAAAAGTGGTGAAGTCACATGAAAGTGTCAAAAAGGTTACTAATTTAATTAAATGATTTTAATTATACTCTCTAATTAATCTTATTTTGCCACGTCATCTTCACATTGTATTTTCGATAATAATTTAATTTTTCAAACAAACATTGTATTTCACTTGTGTGCTGACATGGATGTAAAAATCATTTGCAAAAAAAAAATAACTTACATATTTTAAATTCACTTTCTGATTGCCAATCACCCCCTAAGGCATCACCAACTTCGGCAAAATCGAAACTTTATTCTTCTTCTTCTTTTTTCTTCCAGATACAAGGTAAAAATTATGAAGAATATAGATCGACAACAAAAAATTTCAAACATCGGCAGTCCGAAGGATCAATGGGATTGTTCTTACATAATCCAAAGTCCCACCCGTAAATAACAGTGAAAAGGGACAGAGAACCATCTATTCAATCTCATAGCCAGAAAATGCTGACTACTCCATTGAATGTTTACGGTTTTCTTCCCATGGAAAATGAAGCATGATTCCTAATTTTCAGCAAGTAAAGGTGGCACAAATCTGTAGTTTTGGAGCGTCTGCTCAAAAATATGACCTACTCTCAGCAGCTTTTCCTGTAATGAAATATAAACACAAGTAATTAGTTCGATGAGCTGAATATATGTGAACAATTATAAGGGTAGAAAATTAGTCAAATTCGAGGGTTGGGATGCAGTGGGGTTTGGAAGCTATAGTTTATTTAAACTTGAGCAACAACCTCTAAAACACAATAATAACCTGGATATAGTTACTTAGGAACATGGATTTTACAACTAGAAGGTTCAAATTTACCAAAATGATGGTCTTGTGGCATTAGCACTTAATGAAGAATTAATTCCATGTCCATTTGACAGAAGTCAGGTCATAAGCTTGACAAAAATTAGATTGCTTCGGTCTGAATTCAAGAAAAGGACTTGTAACATATTGAATATGTGCTAAGCTAGTCAACAATATAGGTGGCAGCCAACAGACTATTTAGAGACCGCAAGTTACTACTCTAGAGAGACAAATGGACTCGCCCATGTTTGGAGCAACATTCATATATGTGCTTCTTTTATCATTTCTAACATTGATAACTTAAAAGCAGATTATGTCTGCCTACTGAAGCCCAAGCTATTACTTGTACAGATCATGTCATCACTGACATCTATCAGTTGAATTCCCTACCGACTTCAAATTAAAAGAGACCTTAAACAACTAAAGGTAAGAGGTTCAAATGGGAATCTCATTGTAATTTTAAGTTACCTCGCTGAAGGCAGAACCAATCATCTGAAGACCAACAGGGAGTCCGGCAGGTCCACCTTCAACAAACCCACATGGCACTACTAAAGCAGGAAGCCCAGCAAGGTTAACATTAACCTGTAGAGATATTACAATATGGAGATCATAAGGTTTAGCTACAGCATTACCTCCCGCACTGGCAACTGTTCACTTAAGTGCCTTCAACTAGCTAAAACTTTCCATATACAAGATAATTAGATAAATTTACGCTCTTTTACATCTTTAAAGAGGGGGGGGAAAGAATATGAGTTTAAGAATCATACAGTCATGATATCGCCTGCATACATAGCCAATGGATCATTGGTCTTCTCTCCTGCCAACATATGAAAAATCTAAGTCAAAGCAAAGTGAGGAAGAATCTGCATTAAATACGAAAATGCTAGAGAACATACCAATCTTATAGGCTGCCGAAGGTGCTGCAGGAGAAATAAGGATGTCATTTTCATCCAATGCATCCTTGAAACTTTTCTGAACCAGTGTTCTCACCTGCAAGACTACAACAATCATAATTCTACTTAAGTACCTTCGCCTCTGTTTGGGCGGAATGATGATACAAACTAGTACTACTTCTTATGTGAGATTTTCACAAGACTAAAATCCCGTTCGTCTTCCTCTTACAAATAGGTTCAGGTGGTTACCTGCTGAGCCCGCTTGTAATATGCATCATAATAGCCAGCAGACAATGCATATGTTCCCATCAAAATTCTCATCTTGACCTGAAAGGTGCATGGCATGAGCAATCTACCTACAAAAACCATCTGCCAACTACAATAGCATATGAACTTCAAGTTGGCTACAAAGTGATGGAACTTTAGCATTACGAAAGTTTTTATTTCTCTTCAACTTGAGAAAAGATATATAATTGTGCACCTCAGCACCAAATCCATTGGATCGAGAATCTCCATAGAGAGAATTTAATTCATCAGCTGCAATTTGGTTTCCATACCTGAGAAGCAGAACGATTAATAAACTGATAATATATAGAGTTGTCTTCAATTACTGCTAGAACAAGAAAATATGATAATCAATGTATTATGTATCAGAAAACAAAACCAAGTATCTATCACCTTACTCCGTCATAGCGTGATAAATTAGAAGAGGCCTCAGAAGCAGCTAAAATATAGTAGGCAGGCAAACCAAGAGAAAATGAAGGCATGGATACCTGCAGTTAGAAACTATGTCATATCAGATGCCCTTAAAGTAACATTCAGTTGGTGCAAGGAAATAACGATGAAATAAATTAATATAAAAAGATAGTTTTGCAGAAACAACAGAATAAAAGGACAAACCTCGGTTACCCTAGCTCCAAGATGATCCAAGTGTGAAGCAGCAGCTTGGATTGACTGCGCTACTCCACAATCAACGCCTTCTCCAACTGTTTCTTGAATCAGCCCCACCCTCATTCCCTCTAGAGGTTTAGATTCCATGCAGTTTAGTGAAATCAAACCATCAGTATAGTCTGGAACCACCTGAGAAGGAAAGACGCAGAAATAATAAGAGCACCTTCTCCGCTGAAAAGCTAAAATCCCCAGTGATTATTTTACAAAGCGCGGATCAAGATAACTGGCATTCTTATCCAGGACATTCAAAATTTGCTTTCGCATTTTCTCTTTTATGCAACATGACATTGATTGCCATAAGGACGAAAATATAATGTTTCTCCAGAGCAGACCAACAATAATTGAATTGTCGAGGAGGTTGAAGTTAACAACTCCCATAATGTCACGCGGTAATACATAGCATAAAGTAGAACCAAAGCAAAGAGCAGAACAGCATATGATCAAAAGGCAGCCACCTTCATATGCTCGCTCGAATCCTGAACTTCTCAATGGCTATGCATGAAATATCTACCTTTAAGTATTATGCGAAGAAAAATTGCAGGTTTTGTTCCACATTCATAGTCAGCTTCAGTATAATTACTTCATTCCACGACCACACGCATAATGCTTTAATGTAAAAGTATTCTACAACTTAGGACCATTGCACAAAGTTATTAGCGAATATTTCCTATAAATTGATGCCAGAAAAACAGGTGTGACCCCATCCCTAAAAATATTTGATTAAGTAGATAAAATGCAATCACTGGGAAACTACTGCAAGATTTTGATGAAACAATGGACTTCTTTAACAAAACAGAAACATGCAATAGTCCTTTAGATTATATCTAGTACAAGATGATGCCAGCACAAATGGAAATTTATATCAGTTAACAAAACCAGCAACACCATAAACTCTTGAGTTTAAGAGCTTCTTATTAGACAAAACAATGACTACGAGAAACTTGCATCCAGTGGAGTCTCCTTACTTTTTTGCTGCTTGTCGCGTCTAGCCCGTCGTGGCCAGAAATTGCACTTAGAAGAATTGCAGCATCAATGACCGAGGAACCAAAGCAACCTATGACATCCAAAGATGATGCATATGCCATGAGCCCAAACCGAGAGACGCGTCCATAGGTCGGTTTCACCCCGACAACACCACAGAACGATGCCGGCTGTCTTATGCTTCCCCCAGTATCGGTTCCCAGAGATACCAGGCATTGCCTGGCAGAGACAGCCGCAGCTGAGCCTCCCGACGATCCTCCTGGAACCCGCGATACGTCCCAGGGATTTGCAGTGACCTAAACAAAGGATGCATTTGACATTTAAACCCAGCAGCCACCTGATCTAGTTTAAAATTCGCCTCCTTCCACCGTTTAAATGCTCTCTGAGTTGCGTAAGGAAAAAAAAAAGAAAGGAAAAAAAAACAACAAAAACAACAACGTTCACATCAAACCTGAAACCCTGAGCCCTCTGTGGTGCTCCCCATCCCAAACTCATCCAGGTTGGTCTTCCCAACCACAACTGCCCCTTCTCCTACAACTATCCGAACCGCCGTGCATCAAGGCCGCGCATGTACCCGCCGTCCGATAGTCCTGGCGAACCCGTGGAGCAGTGACACAGAGCACACAATGTGCCACGTGCAATATGTTCTCCTCAACGGATACTGACCGCACCAAAACGACCGCGCGCCCAAGCGGCCCCCTGCCTCCATTGTCTCAATCCGTCGGTCGAGCTCCTCAGCCGATCTCAACGCCTCGGACTCCGCCACGTGGAGGAAGGATTGAGAACGGGCTCGGTCTGCTGAGGCGGGAGAGGGCGTCGGAGGCGGTGGCGACGGCGGTGGTTGCCGGCGGAAGAGGAGGGACTCTCGGAGGGAAGAGATGGAGGAGGGAGGGGAGAGGGGCTGGGGTCAGGGTTAGGGTTTGTCGGAGACGGAGGCGAAGGGGCGGAGAAATGGGCGGGAGAATGGGGGGAGAGGGAGGGGTTTCGGCGGAAAGGGGAGGGAGGCGGTGGGAGAGGAGGAGGAGGCTAGGGTTTTGGATTGAGGATGACATTTTTTTTGGTGAAGCGAAGGAGCCCCCAGGCGTGGGGTTTTGCGGTGAGGGGGGCGCCGGAAGAGGGGGAGTTGGGAGATATGCGCAGCAGGGTGCCAGCCAAAATGACCAAATTGTTATATTTTAGGGCTTTTTGTTTTTAGGTGTATTTGTTTACATAGTTTTATTTTTAAACCCAAGTATTATTAGTTGTATCTTTAAACCCAACTTTCTTTTTATATTTATTTTTAAACTCAATTTCAAAATATAATACTCTCATATGTGGGTCCTCCTATATAATTTTCATAAATTCCAAGCCTTCCACTTATAACCTTCATGTAAGTGGGTCCCCCTCAAATAAATAAAGAAAAATGGGGGGAGAGAGAGAGAGAGAGGAGAAAAACTAGCGATAAAATTACTTTATCCCCCTCCCCTCTCTCTCCATCTTCTATCTCTCTCCCCCTCTTCTTCTTCCTTTCTCTCACTCCATTAATAGAACTGAACACTCTCTCCTATAACCCATAATTTAATCACTCTCTCCTACACAACCCATCAATTAATTCTCACCAACTTACTTAGCATTTAAAGGTACAAATTTGTAATTTACTCAACTACCAAGTTTATAGCATTAATTTCTCATTTTAACCATGACAATTATTTGATATGTTAGTTAAATGAGTTCATAAAAATTATTAAATTCCTTATTTTTGATAAAATGTTAGTTAAATGAGGTTTTGTAATTAACCACCCATTAATTTCACATTAGTTATTTCACATAATTATTTCACACTAATTTCTCATTATTCTTTATGAATTCATAACAATTAGTTAAATATTAGTTAAATTTGTTATAATTGATGTAATTTTAGTTAAATTTGATCTTAGTGTAGAATGATAACATGTAAGTATAGTATGAAATACAAGATTTGTAAGTATAGCACGTTAATCTGAAAGTATAACACGTTATACTGTAAGTATAGCATGTTATACTGTAAGTATAACACATTATCATGTAAGTATAGCACGTTAACCTATAAATATAGCATGTTATCTTGTAAGTATAGCACGTTAACATATAAGTATAGCACGTTATATTGTAAGTATAGCATGTTATCTTGTAAGTATAGCACGTTATGGAGTAAGTATAGCATGTTAATCTGTAAGTATAGCACATTATATTATAAGTATAACACGTTATCCTGTAAGTATAGCACGTTAACCTGAAAGTATAGCACGTTATATTATAAGTATAGCATGTTAACCTAAAAGTATAGCACGTTAATCTGTAAGTATAACATGTTAACCTGAAAGTATAGCACGTTAACCTGTAAGTATAGCGTGCTATACTTTCAGGTTAACGTGCTATACTTACAATATAACATGCTATACTTACAGGTTAACGTGCTATACTTTTCAGGTTAACGTGCTATACTTACAGATTAACGTGCTATACTTTCAGGTTAACATGCAATTTTTACTCTATAATGTGCTATACTTACAGATTAACGTTCTATACTTACAGATTAACGTGCTATACTTTCAGGTTAACATGCAATATTTACTCTATAATGTGTTATACTTACAGATTAACGTTCTATACTTACAGATTAACGTGCTATATTTTCAAGTTAACGTGTAATACTTACAATATAACGTGTTATACTTACAGGTTAACGTGTTATACTTACAGATTAACGTGCTATGCTTACATGTTAACGTGTTATACTTTCAGGTTAACGTGCTATACTTACAGGTTAACTTGCTATATTTTCAGGTTAACGTGCTATACTTACAATATAATGTGCTATACTTACAGGTTAACATGCTATACTTACAATATAACGTGCTATACTTACTCCTTAACATACTATACTTACAATATAACGTGTTATACTTACTCCATAACGTTCTATACTTACTCTATAACGTGCTAGACTTTCAGGTTAATGTACTATACTTTCGATATAACGTGTTATACTTTCGATATAACGTGCTATACTTACAGCTTAACGTGCTATACTTATATATACTTACATATAATATATAGATATATACTAATATGTAAGTATATACCAATACATACTTATATTATAGATATAATAAGATTAATATAATTTCTAATAAATTTTTAGCAAAAAAATTAAAAAAATAAATAAATAAAAGAAAATTATAAATATAATAAGATTAATCTAATTTCTAATAAAATTTTAGCAAAAAAAATTAAAAAAATAAGTAAAAATCTTTGCTGGCACGTAGCACGGAACCGGGCCCGGCCTGTGTGGACAGTTTGAGTTTTATGATATAAGAATGTTAGACTCGAATTTGAAAAAACATTTTCCGTTGCCGGGATTTGAACCCGGGTCGTCTGGGTGAAAGCCAGATATCCTAACCGGACTAGACGACAACGGATTTAGTTAGTTAGTTTTGGTGAATCTATATATCGATATTAAATGATAACAAATATTATTCACTCCTCAGCATTGCTTAAATTATACTTAGCTATCCGGGATTCAGGATAAATTCCAAATCATAGACATATTCTTGGTGTACAAAGGTAATCATCAAAAGCACGATCATTTAGGCAAATTCAACCAATACCAATGTTTTCTCACATTAAGGAGCAAATTTATTGCAAAACAACACACACACTATTGCTTACATGCACTATTAATCCCAACAAATGTGAGATATAGCATAGCTAGATATGTCGAAGAAGTCTTCGGAGGAAGTGATATGTTCTTCATCCTCAGCTGGAGATAATCTTTGTACCTGAACACCCCTTGTACTCTGGCGACACGTCAATGTCACTGGTGAACTGAGAGCCATTTCTCTTCATCGGCATTGAAGAAGAAAGCGTATGAGTACCGATCTTTTTATTTTCTCAACACTCTGTGTGTTGCGCTTATGAACGTATTGTTTGTCAGAACCTACATTGAGAAGTATAGTTTTAAGTACATGGGCATCGGATTAGCACATTCAAAAATGATTATGAGACTGTGGTCAATGAAATAGAATTAGTTTGTCACAGGAAACAAAACATTAATATTTGACAAGTTGTATCTATTTTATTGAATCGTATGGTATGATGATGACAATGATGACTACCTTTTGGCAAAGGAAAACATATAAATGAAGGCGTTTACATGTCTTTTAGTGAAGGAAGATAATTTATCAAATGTAAGACAAATTCTTAGTGCAATTTTGTACTAATTCAGCATAGAAATGGAGAGTTGGTGTACCAAGCTTCATGTATTAATTAGACTAAATCTCTACAACAACAACAACAACCAAACCTTTATCCTAAATGTTTGGGGTCGGCTACATGATTCCTACTTTTCCATTCCATTCTGTTACGGATCATCTCCTCTGTTAAGTTAGTCTTAATCGTATCATTCTTAATTGCTTCTAACCAAGTCATTCTAGGTCGACCTCTAGATCCCCTAGCCCTATTAGCTCTAATATTATCACTTTTCCTAATCGGTACACTAAAGGGTCTCCATTGTACATGACCAAACTATCTTAATCTGTTCTCTCTCATTTTATCCTCAATAGGTACAACCTCTAATACACAAAAATTTGATTAGATGCATACTGCAACTGTGGCATGCTACCTGAAGTATATCTCCGATATTAACCACAATGCTGTCGTCAGAAGGCTCAGCCGAGATCCACTTCCCATCCGTAAGTACCACAAGCCCTCCGACATCATCTTGAAACACAAACGAAATGCAGCTTCCATCTTGGTGCTCAGCCAATCCGCTGCTCTCATCACCCATGGTCACAGCAAAATATCTCAACGCCACCATGAAATCGGTATTTCGAGCTTCATCATAATCTTTGATGAAGTTTGGAGGCACCCCCATGCATTCCGTCAGTATTCTTTCTACTAGCAGTGCTGTTCTGGACATTTGACTAAAACACTCGTCTAGGGTTGATCTTCAAGCAAAAGTCCAAAGGGCTATTCTGTTAGCTTGATGTTGTGACAATAAAATAACTAGAGCCTTGGTTTGTGATGAGTAAGTGACTAGAGAATCACTCTGTACGCATGTAAAAATAATATAGAACTCTCCTTCTTTCTCCCTTATTTCAATATCTGGTCATTGTAATCATCATTAAATTGTCCATGAATCAATTACACAGGTTAGAACGGCAATTAATATTTTGCTTCAACATAATCATCAAATTTCACTGCACGTTTTATATATGTAATGATTTGTCATATATATGTTATAGTATTTGTACGTACCTGAACTCAGTTGGCTCGGCCAGATAAACATTGAACCCAAGCTCAGGCTTGAACACGAGTACATACTCATTCTTGTTGCCAGAGATTTCAGGCTGGCGCATATATCCAGCGGGCAACGGAGCGTTCGACTCTGGTACTGGGCAGGATTTGAGCTTGTCTTCATAGGGCCGATGGAAGAAGGTCTTTGACAGGTCGATCGATGAAAGTGTTATCGGAACACCATGGCTGAAGATCCTGAAGAAACCATAGGTTCGGCATGCATGAGTTATGATCTCCTTTGCCTTACCCTTTCCTGATTCATTATCGCCTGATTGAAAGAAGGGAGAGAGATCAACTGTAGGAATGGTGTTGATGAGTTCACTTCCCATATTTTTTGCCGATAAGCTATGGTGTTTCCTTTTAGTTGTTTTGGCGTTCATTCGGTTTGTGTTGACTGTGATGCAGGGTATAAGTCTTATAGATAGTGTAAAGGCGTTTTCTGATATAGTCCTTTTTTTTTTTGGCCCTCCACTCCTCCTTTGTCACCATCACACTAGCTTTGTCCATTTCCATTAGCTCCTGGGAGGAATCTGTTCTCAGAATTTTGATAAATAAATAAGACAGGACTGCTCCAAGAGCATAATTATTGTTGTTAGATGTAGTGTCGACTTCACATCACTATAATCGAGAAGGAAAAGAAATGCAGAAAACTCACTTCACCTACTGTTTGTGTTTATAGCTCTACTGAAGTAGAAGCAGAGCATAAGCTGACCATAATTTTGGAGCTCATAAAGAGTTCATATTGTTGTAACAAAGTCACGGCTTACGGCGAATATCCATTACATCTAAGCATAGAATCCACACAAAGCCTGTGGTGCCTATATTGCATCCGACCTGTGAAACCTATAAGTAATTATAGATGTCTAGAAATAAGCATCAATTGTGTAGATAGCTCTGAAGATTTTTGGAAACACAATCTACAATGTAAAATGGAGATGTGAGCAAGGTAACTGCAACATACGCCGCTTTCGAAAAGAGATAAAAAAAATAGATGGAAAGTAATAGAGGTTAAAAAAAATACATGGCGAGTAAAATAAAAAACTTAAAATAAAAAGATGACGCGTTTAAATCCAAGATAAACAGCTGTTTCCTCATTATCCTCGATCCTTTGATACAAAACTTGCACCCTCTCTTTCCATTAACAATGCAAAACAGAGCTGCAAAAACAACGTCATGTTGACTTCTAAAGAAAATTAAGTTAGCATTATCGTCTTTGTTCTCTCTTCAGGGACTTTCATCATCGTCTTTGTTCTCTCTTCAGGGACTTTCATCACTATCGTCATAGTCGTTCTAAAAAATACAAAAAAATCTATTAAAAAAAGGTGGAAATCCCAGATATTTTTCTAAGAATAGAGCTACAGGTTGCTCAACAATTTCTAGCTGTTTGCGTGAAAGAAGCTGCTCGAAAGCTACTAGGTTAATCTACCTCTTCATCATCAAAATCGTGTTCGCCATCATCATCTTCATCAGAATCATCCTCATCAGCCTCCTGCGCAACAAACACGAAATTGTATTGGATATTTTAAGGATGTCGACTGAAATATGTAGTCATTTAGACCATACTTTTCATCAAAGACGTCGAAATGATGTTTGGTCATAGTATTAACAGACTTACATTATTGAAGTACTTCAAAGGATTCGGCCATAAGTCTTCCTTAATCATATCAGCCACCTATAACATTGCAGTTAGTTTCATGGTGAATATCTATACTTAACAGTTGGTTTAATGCAAAACTGATTCAAGTAAAATGATAAGATAAAACAAAACTTTATTACCAAATGGAACAATGGGATTACTCCAATAGCTAATTAGTTGTTCATCCTTAAGAAGTAAATATTTGACAACAGTTTCTAAATTTGTGTCATGAATTTTTAAAGAAACTTACGTCATTGTTCATAGCCAAATATAATTTCGTCTATAACAAAAATAGTCATGAAAATAATATTAAGCAGAAGTTGGAAGTTGTTAAATAATAAAACAATTATAATTTGTTTAAGTGGTGTCTTAACTATTTTGTGTTTTATACTATAAATAATTATTTTTACTATTTTATAAATTTCAAATATTTTTTTTGTGGAGTATCCGACTAAGGAGATGAGTAAGGGTAATTTGGTCATAAAATGTCACATAATATGCACATTGCATTTTCTCCATCCAAGTTAGAGTAAGGCATTTTTCGGAAAATTAAATTTTTTATTCGGGGTAGTTTCTTCAGCAGATAGAAGTTTATGGCAATTTTTTAGAAAAAATTGATGGTTCATGGTAGTTTCTTAAATTTTAGTTCTAGAAACTATAGTGTTATTGAAATGTAGTGCACTCACTCATTTACTAGTGTACGGAAAATGTTGAAGAAATTTGTAGATATTTACGAACTATCAACAGAAAAATTAATAAAAGCAGAAATTGCAGTTCGAATAATTATATAAGATGATGAAGTCATTTAACCACTAAAATGATATATAGAACTGAAACCAAAATAAGCGACATCTGCAATTCGAGTTTAACGATAACACCTCATCAGTTGCTATTTCAGACATGTCATTTTCGTGTGTTTCACTAAACCAGCGAAAGAAACTGCACAGACCAAAGAAGAAACAGATAAGGAAAAAAGCTGCTCAAAGAAATTAAGATATGCAAAGTTGAAGACCTGAAGTATTAACACAATGCACATTGCAGGGAATTGTGCTGCGTGACTTCACACTATATAGCACAGAAGATTACATTTACTTTCAAAAATCAGTCACAGTATATATGATCTTTTCATTTTCAAACATACTAGTCTTATATATACTTACAAAATATGATTCATAAAAATGTAGTTCTTAATAGGAAAAATTGTGATCGCACTGAAGTAAAATATTTTCCTAATGATCAGGCTACTAAAAAGATCTCCAAATCAACTAAAATTCTAAAATAACTAAATTCTAATACTTACACAAGTCTAAAATATAACTTGCTTTTTATAGATACAGCTACAAGAAGATTTCGATGAAAAATCTAAATTCTAATACTAACACAAGTCTTCCCAAAGCAACAAATTTCACATTTTGTTGCTGCTTGAACAAACACAGCTCTTGGCTTCAATGAGGAAACATAACTTGTCAGGAGCCGAAAAGGAAAACATGCAAACAAATTCCTATTACCTGGTCTTAGGTGACTAGAACTTTCTGAGCATCTGAAAAAAGTAACTCAGGAAAATACAGAGCAAATTGAGTTAGTAACTTTTCCTTGTAAATCTATGGTTACTTGTAAACTCTAAGTTGAATCCAATTTATAGTCATATATATGATTGAGGTACAAAGCATACACAAGAAAAATCATTAGACCAGTTTTCCACACATTTGGAACTATGGATGCACAAGCAACAAATGAAAGGTAGTCTTGCAATTTCATTATATCTAACCGCACTTATGATTCCATGAAAAATAACAGAGCATATTTATTCACTAAATGCTATTCACTGTTTCAGCTGGCAGAAACTTCAATCCTACTGAGAATACCCATTGCCAGATGATCAGTCAATGATAAAAACAAGAGCAAAATCAATAGCATTGGTTGTGTCCTGAATAATGGAATACAGAAGACCACTAAACTACGTTAAATAATGTCTTGGTTCCAGTTTTTCACTTGTTCTTTCTTCTGTGACTTGTTGCCGTCTGCATGCGTGTATGCAAATGTGTGTTTGTCATACGTCCTTTTTCTTTTTGGGTGGTGGCGGCTGTGTTTGACATGTATGAAATGATAGCCTTAACACTATTAACTATTTCATTGTAGAACTACTAACAGCTATAACTAATACCTAAACTGTTGAAGGAAGCCAACAATTACCTTGTCCCAGCATACGGTCGCTTTTTCCCTTTCTTCTTCTGTTCAATGCCATTGGCAATATTCTTCATGTATCACATCGAAGAAGTATTAGATGAAAACTTAATTAGAGAGAGATACGTGATATAAAAGTTATAGCACTTACCTTACCCTCCTTCCACTTGATAGATGTGCCGGTTATATTCACTGCTCCTTCATCGGAGAAGGAGAATGCCTTTGTGAGTTTTGTATCTTCAAAATATGGATTAGGAGAGAAGGTCTGAACAATAAAGCACAACAACCAACTAGTCAGCCTAAAATGTAATTCCCTTATATATTACTTTCCTCTAATCAAATGTCAGTTCACTGACTAGAAATATCAACTCACGAATGTGATGGAGTAGCCTGACTTCACATCTTTAAAATCTTCCACATCTAGTGAAACAAAGTACTTGAAAATCTACATAAAAGCGAAAAAAATTCAAGGCAACAAGGTAAATACAGAACAAACGACAGCAAGGTTTGCATGCTGAGAGACTTTCAATCTTGAAGATTTACCTCTTGGTCTTCATCGGACAAAAGATCTCCCAGTGCAAGATGACTCAGAAACTACAATTTTTTGACACCAGAGAAGAAATAACCGTAAGTGACCATATAAAAAACTAACAAGGCCACCCTGAGGCCTACCTCAGGTGAAAAGATTTAGGAGGTAGGGTGTCAGAAATCCTATGTTCAGCTCCAGGATGTAGCCTTTGTTTAATAAAAAAAGGTGTTAAAAAAAGGATATATATTACATGACACCAAAATGTTAAGTAAATGTCTAAAGATATATAATATACAAACCGCAGATAACCAAAATTCAGATATTGATTCAATGATCTGGTTTCTTCTAAGATAGACGGGTCTGCGGATCTCATTATATTTCTGTTCGACCTCCGAAACTTTGTGACTTGCTTCCTCATTAACCTGTTGTAAGCATGTGAACCGTGACAATCGTTAATAGTGCTTACTACTTGGAAGAAAAGGTTGCATTATATCCAATAAGAGATTGCAATGTGAGCTACTAAGTTTCATAGACACAGATATGGTACAGAAACAAGGAAAGATACAGATATGTGGCTGTGCAAAATCTTAAAAAACTAAGATATGGGCATGCATGGACAACACAAACAACAATAACGACAACAAAGCCTTTATCCAAAACTTTTGGGGTCGGCTATATGAATCATATTTTTAAATTGAATCTATTATGGGCCATCACCTCCTTAAATTAATTATTATCATATCCTTTTAATTGCTTCTGACCTAGTTCTTTTAGGTCTCTCTAGTCTTCTTACGTTTTAAGTATAATCTTATCAGTTAGGAGCTGGTTGTATTGTACATGATTAAACCATCTCAATGGATTCTCTTTTATTTTATTCTCAAAAGAAAAAGAAATCCAAAGTGAGAACGGGGATAAAGAAGGATAGGAAGGATGAGGATGCAGGTAGAGACTGAGTCGGGATAAATTGATTGCACATTGAGGTACAATCTTCAATAGAACATGTGCTAGTGGCTTGGACCAGAAATCTATTAGGATACAAAGATAGTAAAAAGATGATGCTAATTCATGTTATTCTTCTTGGAATTATCTTTCTCAATATTCCCCTGAACCCTTCTCATCTTTTTAAACTCGAGCCTAAATAAGGACATGAGCATCCATGTTCTATGCATGTTTGAAATGCATCAAAGCAGTGTCCTACCAATAAAAAAAGCTTACGGGGTGCTCAAGTCAAGCGTCTTGAGCCTCAGGTATATGACCTGGGTGCTCCCAGCACTATGGCATTTTCAGCACTATGGCATTTCAGCTGTCTGGAACTTCTGCAAAGCTTCATATCCTGCGCTAGTGACTATTAGCTATCAGGCTGTCAAACATCCAAATATTCCCAACCTATTTTTTTTGGAGTCAGATACTTCCAAAAGTCAGCAACTGACCTCTCTCAAGTGAAAAATCTGACAATATACTTCCACAATAAAGAGGGAAGAAACCAAAGAGACATATGATTGGGTTTGTCTTACGTGGAAGTCACAACGAGTGAGATGGGGAGAGATGACCTACCCTCCCTAAAGAATCCTTGATAGATATCTATTAGTACTTTGAACGTGAAGGGGGACATTAATTATTTAATCGCTAGTTATCAAATTTTAACTATCTAATAAGTTTCCCCCCTGTTTATGCCAATCTGCGTGCACTCAATTTTCAAGTATCTAATGATATTTTCATGCCTATTTTCTTTGTTGCATATATATGAATAAACCAACATGGGCAGGACACACCAAACAGGCGACAAAATGTAAAGAATACAACTTCATGATGGAAAGTCCGTGCTGAATAGATGCCATGTATTTACAAGAGCTCCAATTGATATTGTTAAGAGGAAGGAAAGAGAGAAAGTAGTCAAGAGCAGACAAATTTCCACTGAGGATGGAAAGATGAATTTCCACAAAAATGATGATAATCATTTCTTAGGGACAATGATGGTGATGGATCTATCATGGACAATTGTTGATGTAGATTTACACATTTTATTCTTTTTTTGAGCAAATCTCATTTCATTCTTTTTGAAAGGGATAATGGACATTTTGGAAGATATCATTCATAACTAATTTTATTTAAGTTTGATATGGTTGTATTATTTCGGTTCATTTTAATTTATAGCCTTCTAACATTGGAGATGGCTTTTGGTTACATATACGTGTACTTTTTCTTTTTCTCAAAAGACTTTTAGCATTTCTCCTGTTCTTTTGTTATATCAGTCCAAGATTTAAGTTCCGATATTGTTGTGATATATGTTTGCAACCTAAGTACTTCTCTATTACACACATTCTCGTGATAGATATGTGTGTAAATTTGATTACTTGAGTATGACCAAAACATGGTTAGTTCAGTGAATATATGATTCAGTACCAAACATGGTAAACTGGAAATGATAAACATTAGATATCCCGAGTTATGACATACCAAAACCAAAACAAATCAATAAAGTATGGATGATCGGTGATCCTATTTATCCAGTACCTTAAATTTGATTCATTGATAAATCAGAACAGATGCATGACTGACCCACTTGTTTTATGATCTCTGGCTTTGGAAGCATTACTCAACTATGAACCTGAACATGCTTAAGTTATGCATGGACTGGGTGTATAAATGACATCCAATTCTGTTATACCACCATCATTTTTCTGCTTGATAGCAGGTTCATAAGGAATATTTTAAGGTAAGGCGAAACTTGGGTTTTGATAATTCTCCAATTAACAAAAGATATGACAGCTGTAAAAGGTAATAAATAATTTGCTAAAAATGTGGCTGTCAAATAAAGGAGAGAGAGAGAGAGAGAGAGAGAGAGAGAGAGAGAGAGAGAGAGAGAGAGAGGGATATATATATATATATAGCAACAGAAGAGAGAGAGAGAGAGAGAGAGAGAGAGAGAGAGAGAGAGAGAGAGAGGGATTTCTACTAATGTATAGCAACAGAACACTCATCATACCTACCATCTATTTATTATACCACATTAAACACTTTCAGAAAAGCTTACACTATTAAGCTTCTACCCTAAAAAAAGGTCTGTAGGCCTTTTTCATTTGCAAAAACAATTACTGACTTATTTTGCAGGAAATTAACAAAGGAGTTCAATTGGGTTCCTAAATACCATAATCCCTATAAATAATCGGATCAACAAGCAATAAAGAATAACAAATAAACGTTCATAACTAATGGAAAGGATTATTTGGTAGATTAAAGGATGAAGGTATTTTAAAGTAAGCAATATAGGCACACAAGCTTCGCAACATCCAACATGGACGCAAGCTTCACAATGACACTTAAAATGAGTGCAATACCAGCTGCAGTAGTTGGGTGGAGACTTTGGAAATTCGACCCATCAGGAAGCAAGTACACTGACCAAACACCTGTTTCACTCAAATTATGCCATTACAGCTCGTATTTAACCAAACAAGTCGGTGCTTCAGAATGATGGTATTAGAATCTGCATGCATCCATAAATGCATGGCAACTCCAAATCATCCCATATGCCCTGCAGAGGATAGAAAATTGCAGAGGATAGAAAATTGCAGAGGATAGAAAATTAAGTCCTTTTTCTGAGGGAATCTAAATCATCAGTTTCCGTCCTTGCCACAGGTGCCGTACACAGATAAATCTCAGTGAAAAAATATCACCTTTTTCGCTTTCTCAGAAAAGCAAACAACTTCCTCATCTAATGGCTTTGACATTTTACAAATTACAATGCATGGTTGCAGTAGTGGCAATTTGTTATATCAAGTATATTTAGCATGCCACTTATGAACACTGTCCTACCAATACATTCCTTGTTACTGTAAAATAATAGTTTCTAAGGTGACACCTTTGATTCCCACCTAAGGATGCGGTCTAAAATCACATCATTCCCTTTTTTTTTACGATCTGCTCTGTTGAATTTGATCTACACATTCTTAAACCCAAACACACCAATTTTGGAGTGAACCTATCATGTTTTGACCCTTCATCCACTCACCGTAATTTTAACGGTTTCTAATGAATAGAACTTTTTGCACGGCTCAACGAATGGTCAAAACACAACGGGTTCACCCCAAAATTGATGTGTTTGGGTTTAAGAACGTGTAGATCAAGTTTAACGGAGTGGATCGCAAAAAAAATTAGGGAATGATATGATTTTAGGTTGCGTCCTTAGGTGGGAATCTAATGTGTCACCTTAGCGAAACATACTTAATAATAATATAGATTTAATATATATTATATATTATATAATATAATTAATATATATACAAGAAAATGGGAAGAGCTGACAGCTCTTCTCCCCGTGAGCTGCTAGGTCCATGACATGTGGGTCTCCTACTAGTCACATCGGTGTGGGGGCTCACATGTCATACACCTGACAGCTCATGGGGGGAAGAGCTGCCAGATCTCTTCAGCATCCTCATATATATATATATATATATATATATATTATATATATATTATATATATATATTATAATATATAGGGAGAAGTGTTTCTAAGGTGACGTCTTAGGAAATTATTTAAGGATGCGGTCTAAAATCACATGATTGAGCTACATTGTGGATGATCGTTCCGTTGAACTTGATCACATATTCTAAAACCCCAACACACCAGTTTGGGATGAAACCGTCGCCGTTTGACCTTTCATCACTCGTATCAATTTTAACGGTTTCGAATGAATAGAACTTTTCACATAGCTCGACGGCAGGTCAAACGACGATGAGTTGTGTGTTGGGGTTTAGAATATATAAATCAAGTTCAAAGGAAGCGGATCAACACAATATAAGTCAATCATGTGATTTTAGATCGCGCCCATAGATGATTATCTAAGGCGTCACCTTAGGAACATTTTCCAATATATATATTATATATTATATATATATATATATATATATATAATATATATATTTATATATATTTATATATAATATTATATGAGATTAATGAGTTGTCCTAATGCCAGGAGGCGGGATTTTCCTCCTTGACACCTACGTGGCACATGCCTCACCAACTCACACTCTCTCTCCTACTTTATGAGGATGGTGAAGATTGTGCCACGTAGGCGTCAAGGAGGGAAATCCCTTCCTTGACAAGGATACCCATTAATCTCTTTCTATATATATAAAAAACATTATCTAAAAGCTAGATGGGGTTTTTATTTTTTTCCGGTTTTGCCATCCATTTTACAAGTTATCTTCAATTTTAACATCTTCAATTTGTTTTGGGCCCAAGGGCATTGCAGGTAGTACAAGCCAAATTTCATCATTTACTGTTTATGGATTTATTTCCCCTTTTGCCCATTTGGTTGTTTTTTCCTCTCTAATTGTATATTCATATATTTAGTAATGATGCTCCCAAATAATCCCTCCCTCACCAAAGGCCCTGCCGGCCTGGCGTTCGCATCCCTCCCATCCTCGTTGAGACGAAAATCTAAGAGACGATGGAAGGTGTTGGGTGGATGTGATTAGAAGCATGGTGGAGATTTGTTTGGGAGATATAAAGAGGAGGTAAGAGGATCTGTGTTCTCTCCTAAAAATTGATCACTTTCTCAAAAGCCTAAAGCCTTCAAAGATTATCATCACCATCAGAAGATCTGTGGTTGTATATCATCAGTCTCACAGGTAACCTTATATTTATTAAATTCTTAGAATCTTGCAATTTTTTTCTTTACAATCAAAGGAAATTATACCTAAAGGAGATTGGTAATCGTCTCGACAGTGGCAATTTTGTTAATCCCAATCTCATAGTCCATCCTCAAGCAAACTACCCATCCTCAATCTCTCAGCCAGCGACGGAGTTATTTGGCGTCGCTTCGCCGGCGACGAAGGAGGAAGGTAAGAACGATCTCGCGGCGAAGCACTGGACGGCGCCGGCTGTCACCGTCGAGGCTCAGAATCTTCCCTGTCCGCGTTGCTCGAGAGAGAGGGTTTTTTTTGTCAGTTAAGTAAAGGATCCTTACTAATTAGAGGTCGTCGTGGTCGATGAGAACGAGGAGTTGGGTCTGGGTTTGGAGTTTGGGGACTGACTTAAAGAAGTAGTTTTGATTTTTCCACAAATTTTTTTGGGAAGTTTCATAAAACCCTGCTCTCACCCATTTTTAAATAACCCCTGAACTTCAATATATATCATTATAGCATCAATGCTCTATCTCTCTTCTCTAAAGCAAAACAAATGATCAGGCCCACACGTTAAGATTGTTGGACTCATATTTTATTAGTTTTTTAATTTTTTCCTACAGATAATAGTGGACTTTGAGCCATCTTAATGATTTTGTAGGTTCAAATTATATCTCTGATTAGTCGTGCATGATAATTTGATTTTTCTTAAAAAATTAGTTCAACCAGAGGAAAATATTGCTTATGAAGATGACGATATTTGTGTTTTTTAAAATTTAATAATAACTTTTGCTAATATTTGATGTAAAAGATACTTACCAATTTTATATACAAAACAAATGGTTTGACTGGTCTCATATTGTAAATATTTCCATATCTAGCATCCACCTTAGATATAGAAAAAATGTACACGTAACAAAATCCAAATAGTGTTCAAGTTCTCGACGTTAGCCTTGCCGAAATTGACTTTGAAGAGTATATATGTAGAATACCAAGGCACAATAACATTATGTATCTCTAGAAAAAAGAATATTATTTCTAATTATAATATGATGACAAATTATTGCAAAAAAAGCCTAAAGCTTGTTTTGCTACCTTCTATTTATTTGTATTTTTTTCTTTTAGTTGTTTGGTAGTAATATCTTTATTTATTTGGTTTGCATGCTAATTTGTGTCAAGTTATCCAGCTTGTTTATTAAACTCCATTCTATGATTGTAGGCCCACCTTTGGAAAAAGTTTGTATTCGTTTTAGTAGATAGTGTTATCCACATATTCCGTTTAGTGTTAATTCAATTAATTTTTCTAAACTTCTTAGATGATTACAACATACGCTCATGTATGCTACATTGTCTTACACTCATGTATGCTACACTCTTTTATTTTTATATAGTTATATAAATGAAAATCATTAGCATCTACATATGATTTTCTTATGTATATTGTGAAAATTGAGTTCAATACATATTTATTTTCCTTATAGCATGCTTTACATATTCTTTGATCACCAATTTAATCTATTGTTAAGTTTATGCGATTAATATTTTGAACAGAGTAGTTACATCCTTGGGATTTTTTTGTCATCTTATGTCGTACAATAGCAGGTGTTAAAGAAAAACTATTGTGATGGCCTTTCTAAGTGTGAAATGCCACTTAAATTTTGCTCTCAATTTGAAGTTTAACATGGCTATTTAACGCAATAAATTCTCATGTATAAGGTGTCAATTTTATAGTATAAGCTATATCCCGAAGAATGATCTTTGGTGTAGGATATTTATTTCTTATGTATATCGTTTTTCCTTCAAAAACTTAGGCTGTTATTAATGTCTTTATATTAATCAATATTAAACTTTGGTATAGGATATTTAGATTTTAAAGTATAATTTGTAGAATTTGAATTTCTTTTCTTAATAGAATATTTAATTAAAAATTAATGAATATTATTTTCCACTTAATTTAGCCAAATATTTTATTTTCAAACATACTCAAATTTATGAAATATAGCGATTGATTATGTAATAAGCTAATTCTAAGTGATTTAGAGGAGATGGAGGCTGTCGTTATTATAGTGTAACAAGAGAAGGTGATTATATTGGAGTTGGTTTTCATAAGGATTAAAGAATCATTTCTAAATTTGTGTTTGCAGAATGGTGTGATATTGGGGGAGGAAATAGGGGTTGCAATGTTGGTTTGGAGGAGATGATCTGGAGCAGGTATTTAAGCATTTGATGTGCAATGGAATTTTTAATTAAGTATAGTGAAATTTTTAGATAAGGATTGAGATACTTTATAGTTGATTATATCATGTATGCATTACATACTAGGTGATGATACAGTAGGGGATTGTTGATTTGATCTTTTTGTATATGCCATTACCCTTTGGGTTTCACTATAGCTTATCTTAATAATTAAACAATCTATTTGGGTCTAAATCTTATGTTCAATATCCATTTAAGATTATTGCATCTCCATATTTACCTATATTCTTATCAGAAATAATAAGCCTTTGATTTATTTATTTTTTTACATTTCTTTCCTTTGTCCCCAAACTATATTTTAGTCATTTTTTATTTTATTTTCCATTTTCTAGCTTTCTATTGAAATCCTGGATACTTGGTTTTTTACTATATGATGTAGAGAATTTCACGTGTTTTGAGAATATCAACTTAAATCATCAAATTATGCTAACTAAAATTTTAAAGTAATAAAAAAGATACAAGAAACATGTATTTAAATCATCAAATTAAGTGATTAACAATTATGAGCATATGTTTATAAATTGTCACATAAAAGACTAAGAAATATAATTAACAAACATGACTGTTCATAATTTTCTAGTTAGTATTCTTAATTGATATTTGCTACTTAGCATGAAAAGATGAAGAATGAATGTAACAATTACATATTTACATGTTTATAATTTGCTAGTTAGCATGCTAATTAGAGAATGAAGTTATAATTAACAAACAAGTATACTAAATTACTAATTATTGTTTCTTTTTTATAGGTTAAACATGAAAAGATAAAAATAGATTAGCAACTAGTAAGAAAGAGTATATTACATGATATAAATATGTAATTATGTAAATTATTTTAAAAAAATAGAAGAAAGAGTATGTTACATAACGCAGGTATGAGGCGCGCGCGAGGCGCGAGCGAGGCGCAAGCGAGGCGCGCGCCTCGCTGCGTGCAGCGCCCTGCCTCGCTTGCGGGGCGCATTTCCCCCAGGCCGAAGCGCCCCGCGCCCGGGGCGCGCGCCTCAATAAGCCTGATGTGACATATTATGATAGCAACAATAATGACAATTACTAACTTATATCTATGACGTACTGATTAGTGGTTCCATTAATAGGAATGGGGGATTCAGAGACTGAGACGGGCACTCAGATTGAGGGTGTGGAATCAAGCAAAGATTCATGGAAAAGTGACTCTGAGGATATGGACTATAGCGATGATTCATGGAAGCCCAATTCTGATTATGAAGCATACTCTTCAGATGAGACTAACCCCGATGTGATATTGGCCGACCGTGAAAATTTGGAGTACTCAGACATAGAAATGAATGTATCTTCAGTGGATGAAAATAATAAAAATTGCTTTGCTTATAATTTAGACGAATATGATGACTTGGATGATTGGTGCACATATGACTTTGATCCCAATCTAGGAAGTGTTGGAATTTCTGGAGGTGGATTGTGTGCCAATATGACTTCGGATGATGCTAAAAAGATGAAGAACATGAAACTTGAGGAGGACAATACAGAAGAATCTGAGCCAATAGAGATAAAGCAGTCAGACACCAGTGAATCACGTACCTCATCTAAATGATCAAGCCCATGTAGGATAATATAGCTATGTGTTTATTTTGGATTTTTTGGTGTACATGAGTAGCCAAACTAAGTGAGTATGGCCATGTGGGATAATATAGCTGTGTTTATTTTGGCTTTTTGGGTGTACATGAGTAGCCAAACTAAGTGACTATGACCATGTAGGATAACATAGTTATGTGTTTATTTTGGCTTTTTCGATGTACAAAGTAGAAATATATCTTTTGAGGAACACGGTGTGAGATATCTTTAAGCTATGTATGAATCAATTCGTAAATCAATGAAGTATCTGTGAAATCATGTTGTCCGGTTTGGTTATTATTCTTTTTATTTATACATTGACAATGTTTTGCTTAAAATAAGGATGAAAAATCATAAATAAGATTAAAAAGATATATGGTGTATCACCTATCATGTTGTTATTAATTTACCCTTGGCACTACCACATGTACTACAAATATTGTTATATACTTTGACTTGTAGGCTGTCTAAAAATCACAATAGATAGCTTATCCTCCATCAAACACCGATGATGGAAGTTACAATATGACGACTTCCAGAAGACTATAATTTGAAGACTTTCACGTAGATCGCTGAAGGTTACAATCTGACGACCTTCACGACAACTGATGAGAGCTCTAGTTCAACAGCATTCACAATCAACATCGGGAGTTACAATCTGACGACTCTCATATTCTCAAGGAGTCAAGACGAAGATTGCAAGATAATAATCTTTGCAACGCTATGACAAAAGAGATTACTTTGTGATAATCTCTTCAAGACAAGACGCGGAGGTCCTCCCCGTGTGCCAACATCAAAACGTCAGGGTCGAACCCGCGTTACAACATCAAAACGTCAGGGTCGAACCCGCGTTGCAACATCAAAACGCCAGGGTCGAACCCGCGTTACAACATCAAAACGCCAGGGTCGAACCCGCATTACAACATCAAAACGTCAGGGTCGAACCCGCGTTACAACATCAAAACGCTGGAGTCGGACCCGCGTTACAACAAGCGAAACGTGAGCGACCCTCGCGTTCGTAGGGGTCCAACCAACACCGACCCCCGCGTTTCTAAGCTACAACAAACCAAAACGCGAGCGACCCTCGCATTCGTCAATGTTCAGCCAACACCCAACTTCGCGTTTCAATTCTAAGAGGCGAAGTTGGGTTCTGAACGTCAGATTGGGCGTTTTGACTTGTTCAAACACAAGCCGAACGGCCTCAAAACCGTTATCCCACGTTCTGAGGGATTTTCGCCCACTTAGGAGCGGATTTAGAGGGCAGTTACAACCTCTTATCCCCCTATAAAAGCGAGTAAACTCAACTAAGTTAAGGGTTCGATTTTTATTGGCTTGAATCGACCATTAAAGGCTGGCTTTTTGGAGCTGAGAATTGGTAGCAACAGAGGAGATCCTTGGGCGAGCTTTTGAGGGGATCGTCATCATCCTCTAACGAAGATTATCTTCAACTTCGACAACAGAGAGCTTTGATCCTTGGCTTATCAACCGAACTTTCGGTTCAAATCAACTCTTTTACAGAGTTCTTCTAAACTCGTTCAGAGTTCTCAAACTTGCCACGCAAGTTCTCCACAACGTCAAATCGTGAGGAGAAGACATCGTTCCAGTGAATCAAGACGTGCGGATCGTCAACGGAGAGCAAACTCGACGCGAGCATTCGAGGGAGGCACTCCATCGCCACCGTGAAGAACCCAGTTTTAAACAAATGAGAGAATCAAATTCGTTCTCTTCTCTTTTGTAATCAAATTGTAATCAGAATCGAAGGAATACAAATCAATTTTCTTTGTTCTTTTCTTTGCAATTTTTCCTACAAACAAAAGATGGCGACTCTGCTGGGGAAGAGCTTCTCTGACGAAGAAGTGGTGGTGCAATCCGATGTTCATCTCACTGGAACAACCGTCGAAACTCTCATGGTAGAGTTTGATCAAGCCAAGTTCGAGGAGACCCTCTCTTTTGGATCCCTTAGCCCCAAGGCCAAGCGTGGTGTCCGCAAGATCTCAAAGGAGGTCAAATCTGTTGTTGAAACGTCAAAGAAAGTCCTCTCCTTTGGCCAAAATTCGTCGAACAGCCCCTCCGCTCCAGGAGCGGGCTCGGCCTCTGCTGAACTTGCACAGCGAGTTGAATATCCCACCTCCGCGTCAGCACGACGTGCTACAGGCCATAAACGGCCTATAGAGGAGACCAGCTCCATAAACGTCAACGACGTTGCTGCTAAAGCCTTGAAACAGGCCAAGAAGAACGCTGCTCGTCGAAGAAGGTCTCACCGACGAGCACAACTTCGGGAAAATCGATCCTCTAACCAACGCGAGATTCGCGTTCGTGAGCCTGAACGCGACCCTGAGCTCCGCGTTTATGAGCCCAAACATGAGCTTCGCGAGAACCAGACTGAACGCGGCCCTCAATGGCGCGTTTTACAGCCAAAACGCGAACCTCAAGCTTTCGTTGAACGCGAACTTCAACTTCGCGTTTCCCAGTCAAAACACGACCCTCGCGTCGACGTTAAAGAACGCGACCCTTATGTCGCCAAACCAAAATGCGACCCTTGCGTTTCAAGTGCCAAACGCGACCTTCGCGTTTCAAATGCCAAACGCGACCTTCGCGTATCAAATGCCAAACGCGACTCTCGCGTCCCAAGTTCCAAATCCAATACCGCGCCTGGTGTATACCGTGGAGCTTCGGGGCGCTGCCCCGAACCCCGTCGGGGGGTATACCATCCCCCCGGACCCCCTGGCCAGGGGCGCGCCGCCCCCTGGACCCCCGATACTCTGCGTAGTGCGACTAGATTGAGGGTCGGATATAAAAAGTTCATGGATTCAAGGAATCTCAACCACATCCATGTTCACCAAGAGCCAGTCCTGTCCAATCATGGACTGGGGGTTCCAATTCAAACCTCACAATCAGTGAGTAATTCTCCTCGAATCTTTACAACAGATTTGAGAGAGTTCATATCGAGAGCAAGACCGATGCAACAAGTCATTCGTTCATTCCAATGTGAACGACTGATTTCTATGGTCCTCTCGGGATATTAATGCTGCTCATATGCGGCCAAACCATTGGTGTTCGACCAATTAACGGACGTTGCTTTGTCTAACCAACGACGACGTTCGCACAAGAAGAAGTCTCCAAAGACCGAATATCCTGAGGTCACTATCAATGTGATCGGCGGAGGGAAAGCCTTAGGTCCTAATTCCGATGACTCTGAGACAAGTCGTTCGCCGATCGTCAGAGAAATCGCTAACGAGTTTGAAGGAATCTACCAACGCACTCGGACGCGAACAGGAGCCATTCCCTCTATAAACTATCGGATGTTAGCCAAAGGAATTAATCCCGATGATAAACACTCAGCCATTGCAGAGTCTCAATCATCAAGCTCTTTTGTTGAACATGAGAGCTCCGCTTATATGACGGGAAACCATGAAGATCTCGCAAAGAGACTTGATGAGCAAGAGGCCATGCTCAAATCTCAGCAGGAGGCCATCAATGAACTCTTGGCCCTGTTGACTCAACTTGTCGCAGACAAGGTCAAATCTCAGAAGACAGATTCGCCACTCAGGCAAGAATCTTCCCGAAGGGAAAGAACGTCTTCGTCCCGACCTCACATAAGCAAAGGGAAGGAAAAAATGGTTGATGACACGGTTTCTGACCAAGAAGCCCACAACCTGGAATCTTCCTCTGATGAAGGAAGAGAGACGGAGTATGAGCAAAATCCTCAGTCGGCTAAAATCGAGGAATTGGAAGCCCGCCTCAATGTCATTGCTAACAGATGCGAGCTCCAAGATGAGGGAGTTGTCAGGCCCTACCCTGTCGAATGGGACGCAGCCCCTTATCCTCCAAAATTTGAAGTCCCGACGCTACAAACTTTTGACGGCACGGGATCACCGAACCAACATATCTATCATTTCAAGTCACAGACTGGGAATGTGATATCAAACGATGCCATACTGGCTCGATTGTTCATTGGCACCCTTAAGGGAGTTGCCTTTCAGGAAACTTCCTGCGGGATGTATCCAAGAGTGGACAGATCTAGAGAGACTCTTCCTGTCAAGATTCTTTGAAGAGGATACAGAAGTCTCCATCCATATCCTTCTCGCCACTAAGTAGAAGAAGAGGGAGTCCGTCAAAACCTTCATCAAGAGGTTCCGAACCATGGCTCTCCGATGTTCGTCAGGTATGACACAGTCTATCTTAGTAGAGACCTGTCGACACAACCTGCAGACCAACATCCTAGCTCGAATAGGGGTTGCAGAATGCCGTTCCTGGAGACAACTGATCTCTCAAGACAAACAGGCTCAAAAGATTATTGCCAGGATCAAAGCTGAAGAACAAAGTAGGCAGGATCAACCTGAGCAATCAGACCAAGCCCAACCTTCTCCTGAGCAATCGGACCAAGCATAATCTCCTCAGTCAGAAGGGGAAGATACTACGACTACTGAAGCTAATCTTCTTCAGTAGGATGCCGGGTCTCCAATAACTATCACGTTAATAACTACATCTGATAGTCAAGCTCGTTAGATTGTGGCCCACTAGGCGATGCGCCATGTCTACTCCTTTTCCCCCGTACTTGTTCAAGACTGGGGGTTGGTTTATTTATAGTTCATTGGATTATGAATAATAAAGTTTCTGAGTTGTTATGTTTAATAGAATACATCTGTCAACCATAAAATCTAACAAAACTATCACGTTAACGGTTACCTCTGATAGTCCATCAACTTGTCAATCCGCTTCAATAGGATGGCAAGTCCACTAAAACTATCACGTAATCCGCTTCAATAGGATGGCAAGTCCACTAAAACTATCACGTTAATGATCACCTCTGATAGTCTGTTTTCTCCAAATTCCCCCACCAATTCTCTTCAAGTAGGATGGCGGGTCTATCAAAACTATCACGTTAATGATTACCTCTGATAGTCCATTCCCTCCAAATTCTCTTGCCAATCCTCTTCAAGTAGGATGGCGACCTTCACAACAACTAATGAAGGCCCCAATTCAACAGCATTCACAATCAACATCGGGAGTTACAACCTGACGACTCTCATATTTTCAAGGAGCCAAGACGAAGATTACAAGAGGACGATCTGTGCAAAGCTCTAGCAAAAGAGACTACAAATTGACGGTCTCTTCATATTAGAATACAGATATCTCTCAAACCGAAAGGAATTTGGCGAAATGGAGGAAGCGAACCGAAGTCTTCGGCTTGGTTCGGATGGCCCCGTCTCGTCGAGATAGCCGATTTTCATATGTAATTCGTCCAATTCCGACGTACGGTTTGAAAGTTATGACCTGTTCTTCGTAGCAAGTAATGTTCTGAAGACCGTCTGCAAGACTGGACTTCGTCAGAACATTGGACTTAGCCTGAAGCCCGCCAAGCCCGCCTAAGGTTCACCTCTGCATTACAGAGTCAAAGCGCACATGCTCAACTCTGCGCTTTCAACATCAAAACGCAGAGTTAATCGCTAAAATAGCACAACCGTACGTTTTCAGCCGTTAACAGGCTCAACTCTGCGT